TATTGTTTTGGTGATTATAGGGGTCTGCTAAAACAAATTTACATTGTATCATGTCCATTAAATCGTTTCAAAAATTGTTCTCATTTCGTAGGTGTGTGCTATAAAGTCGGTTGTGACTGGATAGTGGGTTCAGAAACCGAAGAAGATAAATGTGGTGTCTGTGGTGGCAATGGGTCGGCCTGCAAGACTGTACAAGGCATTTACAGCAAAGGAACTACCAGACAATCCGGATTAAGCGAAGTAAGTTGCAAACAGATCGCAAAAGTTGCTGTTTCTAGTTTAGTTTAAAGTCTTATCACCAACTAAGTACTTATCCCATCAATATTAGTAACTACCTAACATCTTTCCTAGAAACCCACTCATTAGAGACCCATAACCGTGAAGTTGTCATATAGATACCAATCAATTCTCTATCAACAGGTTGCAGTCATACCTGCCGGGTCAAGGAATGTGAAAATAGAAGAGAAAGTCAATCCAGGCAATTACATATCCATTGGAAGCGCGAAGTCCAATAAAATATACCTCACCGGCGCAAGGTAAGACAAGGAAATTAACGCAAGAAAACGTTTCTATGAATTGTAATGTCCGCCATTTTTCTAACCTACAAATTTTATTACAGAAATGCAACTTTGACGGAATACTTTGTAGCTGGTACTCAAGCTATTTACGAACGAGACCGTGATTGGGAGAAAGTACGGATTGTTGGTCCGCTCGCAGAAGACATCAAAGTTTATGTAAGTGAAATAGTACAATAACGTTTTATGAGTAACAAGGAACATGTATTATGGTCATTTGTATTGTTGTGTTCAATTCACCGAACAACAACAGACATTGTGAAATCGATATTATTTAGGGGCGCTTACTCCTTTCACTTAGTTTGATATGATGCAAAGACACAAACTTAAGATTGTTATTGCACCGTCCAGAATATTCTATTTGACAATAAACCTTATTAGTTTATTTTAAGAAGAAATTCAACATTGTCTTTGGTTACAGCAAAGGATATACCGCGGCAGGCATCGTAACCCTGGCGTAACGTACCAGTATACAGTGGATCAGCGAGTGCGTCGTCAGTACAAGTACCGCGTCTCTGAGTGGTCGGCTTGCTCTGTCACGTGTGGCGTTGGCTACATGAGGAGACATCACGAATGTGTTGATGAACATAATCGTAAGTTATTATCTCTTTGTCTTTCTTTGTATTTTCCAATTTTATTGTATTTGGCGCTAAGTTTCAGCCAGATTCTGTTAGCTTTATTATTGAGTTTTGACTCAAATTATCTTTACATCTTATCATGACAATTGATAATAACGGTCTCTGAAACACAATTAAAAAATAAATCTTTTAATTGATATCAGAAGTTTGTGTTTTGTTTCACCACAACGCTATACTAGTTTAGATAGATATAAATACTTAACAAACCTTCGTGTATATCCCACAGGTACAGTAGAACAGTCTCTATGTTACCACATCGAGTCGCCACGTCATGAAGCTCTGATGCAGCGGTGTAGGCAGCCGGCCTGCCCCACTTCTCGCACAATGCACACACACTGGTGGGTGGGTGCCTGGAACCCGTGCTCCAAACCTTGTCATATGCCTGTATGTATCTTCGACATTTCACACATATCACAAAACCTTAGTCAGTTACAATACTAAAAAAAATCCAATGAATAACCTAAGCTTACGAAATGTGATAGAGAAGATAGATCTAAAACGACAAAAGCGCCTCTAGCGGAATATTATTTGAACTGGGAAAATACTTATTGCACTCGTTTGTTTTTTATACTATAGATATACTATGTAGTAAATTATTATTAACATTAAAAGTGTAATGAAAATAGATACCAATGTAAGTAGATTTACTAAGCAATTATACTTTGTTACAGGGCGAAGAAGCAATAAAACAACGCGGCGTTTACTGCGTGGATAAAATAACAAACAAAGTAATCGACGACTCAGAATGCGACGTACTTACCAGACCAGTGAGCACAATCAAATGTGCAGACGTACCTGCTTGCTAATGGTGAAGATATCACGCACACATGGAATTGAATCCATAAGGAAACATCGATCAGTGATTTTATGATACACAATCATATTACACAGAGAAGTTTCAAATATAGTGTTTGTAACACTACGTCACGTCGACACCCCGGGCGACAGCTCATACCTGCTCAGTCAGGACCGCAGACTACATGCATCTGCCACCATTGAGCGAAATAGGGTTCAGAAAGGAAAGCAGAAATATGATACCGAGACAAATGCATTTGTATAGGCAATGGTTTGAAGTGAGACGTGAAGTGATAAAAGTCAGTGTGGGACTCTATCGAGCGACACTCGAATTGCGGAGCTGAGTGATTGAGCGCCAGTGTTTTGTACTTGTTACGTATTCTTTGCAATATGACATAACCCATCGAATAGACATAAATCAGTGTAAGTACTCGAATAGTACCCCTACGTGGTGACGTGCGAATCTCGCGAGTACATTCAACAATGCTCTGCAATTACCACTTACTGCCATATTATAAGTAACTAGTTAATCATAGTCTCTGTTTAGTTAATAACTACTAATAAATAATATTTTATATTCTGTAACATCAGTATTAAAGTGGTGTATGTATTTCTATAAAATAATGCAAATTAACGTAATGTGAACGAGTATAAGTATGATATAAATATTAAAAAAAATTTGGACCAAAAATATTTTAGAAATCAAATTCACGTTGCCATAATCACTTTTACTGCCAATATGACACTTGTATGATATAAGTAGGTATACACATAAGTCGTGTAATGTTATGTATTAATGGATGATTCATATTTTTGTACAAATGAATTATTGAGTATTGTGTTATATTTAAGTGGTATAAGTATAATAAAAACGTACACATTGTCACTGGGTATCCAGAGCTAGAATCTGATCGCTTCGATTGCATACCTATAGACAATAAATAAATCAGCTAGTCAACAACTTAGGCATTTGTACACCAGGCTTTACACAGTTGTATTGTGTTTACATCCATATGTCATTCGAATAACATAGAGTAGTACTAGATTATAGAATTGTCGTCCCTCTTACACTATGCACTAAGCATCCTTATGTTAAGAAGAAGAGATGTACGTAAGTTTAATTTGTAAACATGTCTCGTCTCAAATAATTTGTGTGTATGAAAATATGGACTAAGTATATACAATTGTGCCTAATTCTGGAACAAATGTTTCGGTAATATTTATGAATATTTAAGAAGCATTGTTTATGTTCTCCTTTATGTGACTATGCATAATTTTAAATATTAGGAATACATTTATTTATCACGTAATTATTTTAAGGATATTAATATCAATGTGAAAAGTTTCCAGTCATCTGATGTTTCAGTTCTAAGATGCATCAGAGACGCGTCGATCGATTGATACACAATTCTAATTTTGTAATGTATAAACTGCTTTAGGGAACTAACCTTTGTGCACAGACTATTAAACACTGTTTACATTTTTACTATTGATTGTAGAAAAATATTGTATTGTTCTATTTTACCAATTACAATTGTGTATGTAATAGATATGGCAATAAAATCGTGCATTGTTTTAAATATCTTTTTATTTATTTTTTTCAATACAAAACTTATAATTTCTAATTTAATAAACCCAGGTAAAATATAAATCACAATTATAAAATGTAGGCGAAATAAACACTGGTCTTGCACCATTAACTAAATTTCGAAAATTAAACATAAAAATCACATTTTAAAATTTGAGTATCATGAAAAGGAGCCGATCACATTTGAAAGACTAGGAAGTTGAAGAAAAATACTTCAAAGTAGGCATAAAAATCAATTGTTCATTGAGAACTAGCTAAGAGTAAATCTAAATCATTAAATTAAAAGAATACTAGCAGAAGTAATGCAACTTATTTAACATTACACGGAATTATTTTGTGAATTTTTTCGAGTCAAAATTTATGGCGACGAGGAATGATGAATAAAACACACAAATACAAAGAGTGTGCCAAGCTTTACCGCCAAAACCACTGAACTGAGTTGAAATAGGAACAAGGCGTAGATAAGAAACAGAAGGTAGCCCATCACGCTATAATGTCACCTGTACCATAAAACTAGTATAGACTAGCTCAGCTTAGTGTAGACTAGCTTTATATATATAATTATATAATTACTATTTCAAGTAGATTTAGCAGTCTGGTTATTTAACAATTTATTAGTTCAGTCACTATTTCCAGATCAACGGTTAACTGTTATGGAATTAGCTTAACAAGTATAGACAAGCTTAGCTTAGAATAAACTTGCTTTATTGTAAAGGGTAACATTAAATTACCAAGACTTTTTAAAGGGTTTTGATAAATATTATTTGTCACCGATCCTTCTCTAACTAGCTTTCAAGTCTACATTATACTAGGAATATGTAGTAGATATTGAAATATAATAAAATGGTTGGAAGTAGATAGTTAGAAACCATAAGGCCACAGAAATACAATAACGGTTATTGTGAAGCAATATTTGCTTTATAGTAAAGCAATTTGAGAACAGACAAAGTAAGTATTATTAATAAACCTGTGATTGATAAAAACTATAACGTCAGGAGCAGGAGTCACAAAGTCGAATCAAGATCTTTGCTACCCTCAAAAATGTTGGTACATTTAACCTTTAATACTATATATAGCGTCAAGGTTACTTTCTTTAAGGTACTTTGACCTTAAATATTAGTTTTGCAGTGTTCTCATACAATCGAACCAGCTTAAAATAATTGTAACATGAATCTGTGAAACTTATTGAAATAAGTAACCATGGAGTTTCTTGCTCTTTCTTCTCTTTTTTTTTTTTTTGTTAAGGGAAAATCATCAAATTACTTCTCCCGCCCAGGGTAAGTCGACAGAGAATGTCAGACTCTTACTGACTAAAAACCCCCCATTCCATCTCCTGCTCTCGGCCGAGGCCGCGGTGACTCATTGCGCTTAATACGCAACCCCGGTTGGCTCTTTCTTCTCCTGTAATTAACACTTCGTAACGAGCTTCACTAAGAGGACTGACTGACCGACAGACTGGCATATTTTATCTTAATTAGTTTGACGTTCAAATTATTTTGACTTTGGGTATGATAAAGAAAAGGTAACTTAATACTAGCACACACTGTCCCTATGAAACTGATATTTCATAGTCAACAATACCACAAAATTGCCATAAATTTTAACTCGGAATGTTCTAGAAACTTAAGAGCTAAGCAATACATGAGCAGTCTAATTAATTACAAGTACTAAAGTTTAGTCTGGCTACCACAAACATCTATTATACGTACAACGTACACCAATGCGAGTAGGAAAGAAAAATTACTTGAAATGTGTAACCAAATCTACAATATTGCAAAATTAAATAAACATTTACATATTGTACAGAAGCTTGTTAATTTGTCAAATTCCTCTGTATATGAAATGTAGTGTAGGCAGAGTCGCAAGTATTATATTATACTTCTTACCAGTTGTATAAGGCCAAATGGCACAAACACTGGAGAGATTTCATTATATACCAAAACACTAAAACTTTTGACTTCTTATCCGGATTAATCCCTGCAATGGCCTCTAAGCCCAAGGGTAGAAGCCAAGGCAGTATAAAAATATTAAAATTTAAATGCTGAGAGTACACGCTGTGGGGCGTGGAGTTCGAGCCTTGGCTCAGATGGGCCATTGAAGAGGGGCAGGAAGTTGTTTAGGGAGGACACAATCAAAAAACTTCGCGAGAGGGAAAGAGGGAGATCAGTCATTTAAATTATATCCAAACTTATGTGACAGCTGGTGTGATATTAGTAACATGAATCAGAAGGTGAGTCTATCATATACGCTAGTCTTAAGACGAGACCCAATTTTTCGTCCAAGTGCTTGCCACTACTCTGTTTACAAAGCAGTCCTTAAAATATTTTCAAAATATACGAGTACTATTAAATAAATAGACACAAGCGTCAGTCAAAATTCTATTCGAAAGTAAAGCAACTAAATTAAATTAGTATCAAGACTTTCATTCAAAGTCAATAGAATCAACATTCTAATGAAGAAATGAAACATTTGGTACTCATCTCAATCTAGAAACAGACTTTATTATAATTCAATAGAATTAGAAATCTTTTTCAATAGAAAAGAAATTTGACAAATTAGAAAATTAGAGTGATTTGGTATGTTGGTATCCATAGAAGCAGAAAAAAATACACAAAACAACCTTCACAGTACCGCGTAAAAATATGTTTATTCACTTAAATTGACGTGTCTTAAAATAACGGTAATTTGAGTATCATTTATTTTTATCCTATACACCTAGAGTACGAAAAACATACATACTAACATAATAATTGTGTTTTTTACAAAACAAAGTCATACATATTTGTCAAAAGGATATGATACTACCACAATCCAAATACCTATTCTTAAACTATAATACAAATAATAAAAATCTCACAGATCTTTTCCCGTTTATTTCGGTTTTTATAACATTTAATTTTTATTAAAAATACGTATAAATCTTTTAATTAACCTGTACCGGAACTTGAATCTTTTGCTACTAAAGCTTCTGACGAAACATCGAACCGTATATTTTTCTTTTTTGTTGTATTTTTCTGTAAAAGAACAAAAAGTTTCAAACCACATCCTGGAATGAAAAAAAAACAAATTGTCGAATTAACATAACTGGTTCTCCTATTTTTGTGATATATACAAAATGAGCGACGCTTTTATTGTCGACTATAATCGGGTTCAAAACGTGACGTTTTCCAGGTTGTATGTATTTTCGACAATTATTTAGACAGCACTGACGGAAAACATCGTGAGCAAACCTGGGCTTATAATTTCTAATTATAAGTTTGAAATCGCAATCCGCCTTTAGCAAGCGTGGTCATTAATGCTCAAACCTTCTCCGTGTGAGAAGAGGCCTGTGCTGAACAGTGAGTACTTATAGGCTAAAGATGTGTATGTGTATGTGACTATAATTTTAGTAAGTAAAATAAAAACATGCGAGTATGTACGAGTTCGGCTCAAGCACGAAGAGTTCGGTACCGTAAATTACGTATGTTAAAGGGGCCCCCCTTTAAGCCTTTGACTACTAGCAGAAAACTATTCGGAGACAAATCCTCCACTATAGTCAGTCACCAGTGACCGGTTTACCTCTTGTCTGTCAGTGTATAAGAGACAAAAGAGAAAACACATTGTGTCTCGCATAGATCTATTACTCCGGCAATCATGGGTCAATCACTATATAATTCTACTTTTTAATGTTAACACAAAAGGACACTATAATTTCTATTATTGTGAGATATACTTATATGATAGTTCGTAAGATATTTTGATCCGATAGACAAACTATGTGCATAGTTTTGTCGCAGATTTTTATATGTCGTAAAATTTAGAATGTAATAAACAATAATACCGCTGTCTTACAAGTATTGTTTAAGTACTTGTTGTTAAGGCAGCAACATAAATATATTGTCCATCTAAATATCAACCTTATCTATCTAATAGGGTTCATGAGTATCCTGGTGAAAGACAGTGTTTCAGTTTACCTTGTCTTTATGGGCTCTGGGGTCAGTGTTCTTGGAGCGTTCCTTCTCCAGGTCCGTGTGTAGCGAGGCCAGCTCTGCGGTCAACTCGGCCTGCACCGACCGCAGTCGCTCCACTTCTATTAACACTTCAGCTTTGTCTTTCACTGGAATTCATAATAGCAAGCTTTTTAATCACCACAATAAAATAATTTAGTGATTTTCAATTTATTATTCTATCTCTATTTATTATCAATCTGCTATTTCATTACCAGTGATAAAAAAAGGCGATGTTTTGAAAAAGTTCAAATAAGCACCATCTATCGACGACAATCATGAAGACATAATGGAAATGTAAATATATCTCAAAAAGTTGCAAGTGTAAAGAAAAAATAAGGTGAAAACTTACTCTCTCCCTGTCCGAGTATATTACACAACTTCTTATTTCTGCATTTGACTGTGAACAGTTCATGTTTGAGATTCTCAACCTCTTCCTTCAGTGTTGCTATCTCCTGATCCTTTCTGTCCAAAGCATCAGTGAATTGTAATCTGGTAATAACTTCATTACTTATCGGTGGCTGTGCCCTCGGCTTATCAACGACTTTTTCCTTTAAAAGTTCTTTCTTAGTCTCAGCTTTTACTCGGTCAAAAAACCCTGGGTCCTTTATGGGAGACTTTGGAACTTCCTGCACACACTTCTCATTAGCATGGGGTGGTACTAAAAATAGACAATGACAGAATTGTAAATATTGACACGACATTCAAGCGGAGGTTTACTAAAAGAAGTTAAGACAAAACATATTATTAATGCGCTCTTTATATTAAAGCCGCGCCCTGGTAGCAGATTAGACTCAAATAGTTACTCACACACCTCGCCAAGGGCGGGAGGAGTCATTTGACGAATTTGCTTTCTTACATAAAGGACCCGAACAGTCGAAGTCGGGAAAAAAGAACATACGTGCACAACTATGGTGAAATTGGTGCCGGATCGGCAAAGCACTACAACTCTCTCGATGATCTCCCCCTTACAAAAGTAAGACGCGGTAAAGCGGTATCAGTTAAGCAATCGTGACAGCTGCACCAATGAGACATAACACCTATGCCTAATCCTACAGAAAATGCTAGCCGTTTAATGTATATAAAAATCAACTTACATTTCAATTCTTCTCCAGCATTCATCATGTCATTGAACTGGTCCAGGCTCATGACATTCTTTTTCTTTAGTTTCTTAGCTTCTTGCTTGCTTAGCTCATTAATTGTTTCCTCTAATTCAGCATTCTCCTTAGTTTGCAGATATACTCTTCCTTCCTCCTTTTCAAAATCAAGCTTTGATAGTAATATAGCCTAGAAATATATCTTAACATTTAATGCATGCAGTATCTAAACAACCCTTCAGCCATTTGCCATTTGCATTTGCCTTGTTAAATAATTTTATACTAACTTTTCTTCTTTGAGTTTTGTTCGCGTGGACTGTGAAATTATACCTGCTATTCCCCACTACTAAGTGCCAAGTCATTGGATGAAAGGAATTCCCCCCTTTCATACCACATTCTGTAGAAAGGAATTCCCAAAATGAAAATTCCAACACCTGATTAGTTTAAAAATCTGATGCAGTTATAATTCATTTCATCCAAAACTTGTTACTTCTAAAAGTTAAAAAGACAAAAAATATACAAAAAACATTTATGCTAACTAAACTAATCATGTATTTAAGTTAATGTAGGTCAAAATAGAATAATAGTCAGTCAGTCTGTTAGTCGGTGAAGCCAGGTCTTCGTTCCAAAATGGGGATTCCAATGTAGAAGAAACTCCATTTAAATCTCAAATAAAATTTCATCCCTATTCACCCATTTAAGATACGAATCTCAAACATTTTTGTTAGTCCCAGTTTCTTTAATTTGATGGAACTAAAGAGTAAATTATTTAAATTACTTTTAATTGATGTATATTGGTTATCCCAATCCCTTCTATTAATTCTCATTCACAGGATATTGTAGTTAGGTAAGATGCACTTCTGGTAAACTCTGAGGGCCGATTTAAAACACAATCTAGACAAAAATACAATGAAAAAATCCAGACAATAAAAATTATCGAAATGTTTTCACCATGAAACGTGCAGGAATAAGAAAAACGACAGGTAATAAAACATCCACATTCGCAAACATTATATTAAGACAATAATTGAGAAAATAGTATCCGATCCAGAAGATATAATATATTTTCTTTTAATATTAAAATAATAAAGTGCATAATAATGGGGCTTATATCCCTAAAAAGAGGTTGACAAATGGGCACATAAGGTTCAATCATCGTTTTGGGTCATTTTCGCTTTCTCTTGCTCTTAGGGTCTGTTACACAACAACTGAACAGGCGCTATGTACAAGATCAATTTGAATATCGAAAGGTAATTTGTACGAATTATGTGCCACATAACCGGGACTTTTTTTTTTTCATTTTTGGTAGAAGAAATACTTGAATATGTCTTCTGGATTGGACATTTTTTCTATAATACGTATTTGAAATTAAAAACACTTATAATGAGTACAGTGTAAACTCTTTGTAACATCTAAGTGTAGCTAAGTCTTGGAGAGCCAAACATCGGCACGAATGAGTCAGCTCTACAGGAGTGATACCACGGCCTCACAGAAAACCGGCGTGAAATAACAGCGTTGTGTTTTGCCGTTGCCGAGTGAGTGAGATTACCGAAGGACCAATCTCTAAAACGGCCGGCAACGCCGTTAATTTAATTCTTTTAGTGTGTTCATGGATAGGTGGCGCCGATTACTTACCATCAAGTAATCCGTTAGCTCGTTTGCCGGCACATCATTAAGTAAAATGAAAGCTTTTAGAAGCGTTTGTTTTACAAACAGAAATAAGGTGATGACTATTTTTATTATTAAAAAATTGACACATTTTAATATACTCTTTTGTACACGTAGCGCAACAGCCATTTTTATAAAAAAGACATACCTACGTCGTTGTTGTTAAATCGCCAGCAAATGTATTGAATTTATCAAACACATGTTACATTTTCTTTTTCAGTAACTAAAAACTCAATACTTGAACTTTTCAGTTCGATTTGTTTTTAGTGTTAAGAGTAGGTACTGTTATACAGAATGCGTCAAATAAACATTGACATTTAAAGTACCCAATTATATAGAAGTAGCTAAAACCACAAAATATCGGTACCTACAAACAAGGATACCAGATATGTAGTTTTTTTCCGAGCACGCTGTTACAGCAGCGGTAAGACCCCCTTTGAGGACTGGTAACGGCGAGTAAGGATAGCTCGCCGATCGATCAGAACCAGACCCAAGCACACGGCACATTACGTTCCTCGCGCACCTCATAGAGTCAATAGACCACCACAGACGAGACCCTACAGGGCAGATGTTCGGCCGGGGTTGCGGATCAAGAACAATAAGAGGCACAGCTGTGTCGGCCTAGAGCAGGAGAAGGAAGGGGGGTTTTATAGTAAGTAAGAGACTGACACTCCTCTTGCTCTAAGTGTCACATTATAGGTGTGTGTAGGTAAGTATTTGGTTTTATGCTGTGGTAAATTATTGCGCTTGAATCCAAACCCACATTTAGGTTCACTGAATGTCGCTATATATTTGACGCTGAACGGCTGAAGGTCCTTGTTTAAGATGTCTGTATTAACAGAGTTTGTGGCGGGAACTACAACCCAAAAAAGACTCCAGGCGTCGTGCATCGCGCGAGGATCTCCGTAATCGTAAGTGCGCATCTGCGGACAGCGAGCAAAGGTAGTCCGCCGCCCGACCAGAACCAGAACCAGAACCGAAAGCACGGAGCGCGCCTCAAATAGCTTTCATTCCATCACAGATGATGCGAAAATAGGCCAACATTCAGCCATTTAAAGCGTAAAGGTATGAAACCATAAAAATTGACTTAAAAATTGTCGCAAGAAAACACTGGCTGTTCAAATAGAAAATCTGTAATAAAAGACAATATTTGTCAGTCGTAAAACTAAGACTGAAAATGTTTTACACCACAATAATTGCCCTTGTCATTCTACCGTACCATAACCAATATTCTAAATATAGGTACCTAGATCAATTTACTCAACAAATAGACAAGTAAAATCAATATCTTGCAGTGGTTGGAGCATGTCATTTAAGGTTTTAAAGGTCACAAGTGGAAGGAAATTGTTATTGGAACTGATTGAAACTGACAGCAAGGTCTTGACAGTATAGCATTAATATGGTTGCATATTAATGCTATACTGTCTGTATTTCCGGCTTTCAATAACAAATTGTGTGTTGACACAATTTGTTATTGAAAGCCGGAAATGATACACCAGATGCACTAAAGGGTGTTATTTTCGTCTTCGAAAACAGTAACTATTCTAACAGCCATAGTTGATAGCATGGCCTCCGTATGATTGAAGAATTCCAGCATAGAGCACATCACTTTATGATGAATGTTAGATCACTTTATAGATCTGTCACAGCAACTTCAGTCACAAATGAGAACATTGGTTTTTTATATAAGCTTACCTACATTTGTTTACATGACTTCAATAACAAATACATGAAGTTCTTGTTATAAGTTGAACAAAGACTTCAAAGATAATGTAAATGCTCCAATGTCAACTATACCTTAAAAAAGATTACAGCAATTTTTAAACATTATTACACAGTTCCAACTACTTATGTTATATTAAACTGAAGTCTTGATTGATGATTATTGATTATAGCTTCATCTAGAGATTTTTGGTATATAATCTATACAAATATTATAAAAGAGGTGAAACTTGTAAATTTGTATGTAGAAGGTAATCTTTGGAACCACCAGTCAATACAAAATTCTTTCACTAATAGGTTGCTATAATGTTTACTGAGTGCTAGAATAGGCAGTATAAAACATATCAAATATCATCAGATTTCAATAACAAATTGTGTGTTGACACAATTTGTTATTGAAAGCCGGAAATGATACACCAGATGCACTAAAGGGTGTTATTTTCGTCTTCGAAAACAGTAACTATTCTAACAGCCATAGTTGATAGCATGGCCTCCGTATGATTGAAGAATTCCAGCATAGAGCACATCACTTTATGATGAATGTTAGATCACTTTATAGATCTGTCACAGCAACTTCAGTCACAAATGAGAACATTGGTTTTTTATATAAGCTTACCTACATTTGTTTACATGACTTCAATAACAAATACATGAAGTTCTTGTTATAAGTTGAACAAAGACTTCAAAGATAATGTAAATGCTCCAATGTCAACTATACCTTAAAAAAGATTACAGCAATTTTTAAACATTATTACACAGTTCCAACTACTTATGTTATATTAAACTGAAGTCTTGATTGATGATTATTGATTATAGCTTCATCTAGAGATTTTTGGTATATAATCTATACAAATATTATAAAAGAGGTGAAACTTGTAAATTTGTATGTAGAAGGTAATCTTTGGAACCACCAGTCAATACAAAATTCTTTCACTAATAGGTTGCTATAATGTTTACTGAGTGCTAGAATAGGCAGTATAAAACATATCAAATATCATCAGCTTAGCAGTGGATGGAACCATGGGAGAGTAGTTATTGTTTATATAAGTTCAGTGTCTCATTATTAGGAGCATAATCAAAAAAAAAATCTGATTTACTGAACCTCCACCAATAATTCAATGAGCAAATTATGGATACAAAGAACTTATACTGCAACCCAAAACTAGATGATGAAACTACAAATATTTCCTGCAAATTGCTTAAATCTAAGAAATATTTCTTTTGTTTAGTGTAATAATTAGCTAGGGAAAATAATAAAGACTGATATTCTAATGGTATCACCATTAAGGTAAGTGGAATTATTACTTTAGCTTTTTTTGTTTTCAATGAAAAAAAAGATAACAATAAAAATATAAATAAAATATTAATAACAAGTAGGACATAATCCCAAATTACAGTGAAGATCTACCTATAATAGAGTGAAAAGGATATGTTTAAGGGCTAAAAAGGCATTATTTAACTTCCAATGCATGTAAGTCAGTATGTTCCGGTAAGGGTTAACTTAGCTTCACTACTTTAACATACTTTTCTCTTTGTATCAAAATAATGAAAAAATAGTTCAAATAAGATTTGTTAAAAAGAGTTTACACAGTACAAAAAACATCATACAAAAACACATAGTTAACGCATCCAGTGCCCCCGACGCGTATGTGCGTTTTGGGTCGGGGGGTCGCGTCGGGGGCACTGGATGCGTTAACCACTATGGTAGGTATATTGAGGATTATATTGTAGAATACTAACAATTATAAGTGAATTGTGCAAATAATATTTGTCATAAAACTTACTTGCTGCAGTTCATCCTCAAAATGGCCAACAACCATTTCTTCATCCTTCTGTTTCCATAGTTCCCACTGATCAGCTGACACTTGTTGTGGTTTAGACTTCTTCTTTTTTGGTCCAGGCTACAAGCAAAACATTTTCCATACAACAATATAACATGCATTGTAATAATCTTTCACATTAATAAACAAACTGATAGAAAAACATGTTTCTTATTACTTTCGAGCTCTTGATCACAGCTTACCTGGGGTTTATTTGTAACATTTTTCTGCTTCTTTGGAGGTTCAGTCTTCTTAGTGTTATTCACTTTTGACTTTTTTGACTTCTGATTTTCCGTGGGAGGGTAGTCATCGTCCTCGATCTTCAGACCGGCAAATCGAGATTGTACGACCAATTGAGCCATTTTTAGATATTGGACCTGTTTGTAAATAATACTGAGCAATATATTTTTATATTGTTCAAATGTAAAAGTACTGATTACGATTATTCTCGGGTAAATAAACATAAGCCAAGAAACAATCAAACTATCACAAAAAAATAAGATTAATTTGATTTAGATGGAGTGCGATTCTGGACCCAATAAGTGTGTATTTAATTATATTCACTTGCCTATTGGAAATTAGGGGGAAATCGAATAACTTGTTTTTTTTTGTAACAAATAAACTCCCAGAAAGCGGCGTTATGGAAATCCAACGGATTAGACAGCTGAAGATGCCGACAGACGTGTTATTGCCAGATTATTAAAAATCTAAAATCAATAAATAATAAATAAACACGCCTTTAAAATAAAGATGAGGCTGTATAAGCTTATTTAAGTGCGTATGAAAAATAATATATATGAGGCATCTTACTTTACGGTAACTGTCTCAAACAGTATCTTTTTTCCAGTGTTAGCTTGTGTTAGCTAAAGTGACCTTAATAAATAGTTGAATTTGATTTTGTTTTGTGCAAGTTTGGTATGTAAATTTGTTGATTGCTGATCCATCAAAGAAATAAATGTCGATACAAATGTATAAATGTCGATATCAAATGTATCATATCAGTTGCTATCGACGTTTTAATGCCTGGATTTTGATATTTATCGGTTTTCCAGTGTAAATATCTGACAAGCACAGCTGTCGTTGACAGTTGTGACATTTTATTAGTTTTGACGTATGACGTGTGTCAAATTACCTATTACTTTGGTTTGGCGGCAAAGGCTCGTTTGTTTTGATGTGTTTTTAAATATTTAATCATGAAGTTACATTGCCAAATAGAAGTTATCAATAGATTACACAGTTCTTTAAATATAAGATCAAGTGGGAAATATTTAAAATCTACTCTTGCTCTAATAAAAGAACCAAAAAATGAAACGGAATATAGTCTCTTACTATTTTCAACTGTAAATAAAACTGGTACAAAATATCGTGTTAAATCTGTAAAGCAAATGTTTGTTAAGTTCATAAATGAAGGTAAAGCCACCATACGCTTCGAAGAACCACCTCATGATTTGTGTATCAAATGTGAACATATACAATTGAAATGCTTCGTAAAACTGCTTAGGTCGTGCATCACTGGTGATACAAAGACCATACATTTAGCCAAATTATCAAGTGTCGCCGTAACGCATAAAGAAACTCCCACTAAACTGGTAATACGTGATCGGAGTGGTTTCCCTATCAAAGGATTTCCAAGAACTTTAGAAAATCTTTCTATAAGTGGACTGAACATTTGCAATTTCCGAAGAGACATTTTGTTGTTGAAACAACTTGTTGTACTTGATCTCAGTAACAACGCAATTGTCGCCATACCTCCAGAATTAGGTAAGCATGGTTTTTAATACAACATACCTACAATATACCACAAATAAAGTTACTAAAACTCTTGTTCTTCAACTTACAGGAAATATGCCAAATTTAGCTGAATTACATTTGGCAAACAATCAGCTTGGAGTAAAGGGAAAAATTGATTGGAGATGGCTATTGGGACAGCAGGTAGTTAACAGTTTACACTGTAAGCTAAATACAAACAAGGCCCATCAGTTTGTTTAGTGCTAATTAAGCTTTAAATAACTTCTTCAAACGCTTCACATTAAGAACCAAACTTTAAATATCTATTTATTTATTTTGTGCTGTTCAAGACTTCCTAGTAATTCTTTTATATTTTAAGTTTGATAAGATATATTAAATTACTCAAGTACAGCACCCTCTTCATATAGCTTTGTGGAAATATCAAACTCTACTAGTTTCGAGCCACACTAGGGGCTCATATTTTCAATAGAATAGTCTGTCCTTAATATACATGTTAAATACACCATGGATATCTGTGAACATGGAGTTAGAGGCTACAGCATTTAGTACCTCTAGATTTGATTTTAAAACTGTTATATTTTTTTCCATTTCAAAAGATCACAATGTTGACCACTATGGTCAACAACATAGAACAGAAGATTGTGATCTAGTGTTTTGTAGCCATGCCAGTTGCTGTTTTTTGTTCAGCCTATCAGTGCCTCCTGCTGTGTAAAGGCACTTCTCACTGAAAAGGTTTGAGCATTAACCACCACATTTGCTCAAGAAAGATTGGCAACTTCAAATAGGTTTCTTTACAGTTTACCTTTATTGTCTGTCAATGGCATTTTAATAAACATAGAAAGTTCATAAAAGCTCAGTCACATTGGTATTCTCCAGGTTTTGATCTTGCACCCTCATGCATGACAACTAAGCGCCTTAACCTCTGAGCCACCACAACATTTCTATTTTTGTTATTCTTTAATACTTTCATTAGAAGATTCAGTAAACACAATATACTTTTTCATTTACAGATTAAAAATAGGCTGAAACTTTTGGACGTAAGCGGAAATGAATTAAGATACCTGCCAAAATCTATATGGAAAGTACAGAGTCTAGTTACTCTTAAATTGGATAAAAATCTTTTAGAATATCTGCCAAACACAATTGGTCGCATGAATAACCTCAGGTATGTTTTCAACAAAATTTTATTTTTTATTAAACTTTGTTAATACTGACTTTAAAGTCAAATTCTGAATCACACTACTGACCCTTATGTCTATAATTTTATAAAAACATATTTTTTTTATGGTATATGTTGGCAAACGAGCAGACGGATTACCTGATGGTAAGCAATCGGCGCCGCCCATGGACACCCGCAACACCAAAGGAGTTACGAGTGCGTTGCCGGCCTTTTGGGGATGGGGATTGCAGATATAAGGATTGGGAAGGGATAGGGGAAGGGGGGGGGATTGGGCCTCCGGTAACCTCACTCACTCGGCGAAACACAACGCTGTGGGTTGTTTCACGCCGGTATTCTGTGACGCCGTGGTATCACTCCGGTCGAGCCGACCCATTCGTGCCGAAGCTTGGCTCTCCCACACTTTTGTAATAAGTATACTTTTTTGTGGTATATTTGTAACCCAACCATCCAATAGCTGCTGTAATCGCATAAGTTATCATTAGTTCTTTTTATGTAGATACAAATACTTACCATACTCTTTGTTATAGGTATCTCACAATAGCTCAGAACAATCTCGTATCACTGCCATGCAGTATGCTCCAATGCCACTTGGATTACATAGATCTTTCAGATAATAAACTCGATGATGGAGGTACAGCGAAATCAGAAATGCTTAAAAGCAACCCTTGGGAAATGTTTGTTGCTAGTTTAGTAGATTTGGCAGCCAGAGTTGTAATAAAACAGAAGATACCTTACACCTCAGATATCATACCATGGACATTAGTAGAATATTTAGATGATGCCAACACATGTATCTGTGGAGAACCTGTCCTAAGTAAAGATCATTATAGCTATAGAGAATTCCAATTAAAAGATTATTCTCGTGTTGTTGTGTCAAATAATAACAGGAAGAATACTGTGTCGTTCCTATGTTATTACTGTTCGCCCAAATGTGCGTGATATAATCAAAGTATGAAATTAAACAATAAAATAAAATATTTATTGATAAATGTTCTTTCATTAAAATTTTATGATAAATTAATTAAGACCTTCAAGCTTCCAACTGATGTCAGAAATAACTGGAGCTATTCTTATGTGTGGATCTGAAAATAAAGAAAAAACATTGTAACGTAAGCTTGTAAATTACAGACTACATATATGTGGAAATGTGGTTAGTAGATTTCATTAAACAATATTATAGTATCGCAAACACAAATAATTGAATAAAACAATGGGGTAGCAACACTATGATACACCTGAATATTTTAATTGCGATCTCTAATACGACTACCTACCAATATATATACCTACCTAGAGTTTATAGGTAACCTATAAGGTACAGAAGACCCATAATCGTACTGTGGACTATCGCGGCTTGTTGATGAGAATTGGTTTGTTATAAATACTTAACATAGGAAGGTTTTCGGGGTAAATCGTCAAAGGACTCTTCCCGACTAAAAACCACCGCGAACCTTCTTCGTGTTACATTATTGTCTTGATCTGTAACACCGGTTGGTCATCGTATCGTAGCGTGCGTTCGTGCAGCGGAATGTTGTTGAATTTAAAGATTTTAATTATGCAGATATTTAGTGTATGACGTCGTATAATTGTGTATGGTAAAAAAAAATTTGTGCACGCAACCATTGTGGAGAAATTCACCAAAAACTGATTCCGCTGGGCGAACGTTGTCCTGGCGGAACTTTTTTTAATCCATAGACTTTAGAAGAAAAGAGATGTATCCAAAAATTAGTGTGTATTTGTGTGTAATTGTATATGTATGAATAAAACTAGTGCATGCATGCATTTTGGGATGTTACCTAAATATATTGCACGGCCGCTTTTTTGTAGCCATCCGAACTTGGTCGGGTTATGTAGGTTTTCGATGCTTCGTCAGTATTATAATTGTTTTTCTTTAATTACTGAATTGAATGACATGAAATTTTGCATGTGAATAGTTGAATGAATACACTAATTATTGGCATACATTTTACCATGCAATTCATTTAGAAAGTCGTGATATTTGACTGCTTTGTAAACAGTGATCTATTCATGGTAAATTTGTCCTATAACTATTTAATTACTAACGGAACATCATTGATACTTGGAAACATGTTGCAGACACTTACAAGGTTTGTATAAACGTGAAAATCTAGACCCCAAAGTGCATACTTTAAGAACTAAGACCTAATAAGCGTATTTTACGTTTATATTTTTATCTTTTAAACCCTACGATTTTTTCTAAATCTGTTTTTTAAACAAATATAAACAAATTCAAAACAACGTATGTAAAAATCTACAGCTTTCTATGTAAGCGCTTTATATGAAAACTAGCTAATGGCCAAACGTTCGCGTAGCGGAAACTTGAATATCTCCGAAGTTTATGCATGCACTAGTTTTATTTATACATACACAATTACACACAAATACACACTAATTTTTGGATACATCTCTTTTCTTCTAAAGTCTATGGATTAAAAAAAGTTCCGCCAGGACAACGTTCGCCCAGCGGAATCAGTTTTTGGTGAATTTCTCCACAATGGTTGCATGCACAATTTTTTTTTTTACCATACACAATTATACGACGTCATACACTAAATATCTGCATAATTAAAATCTTTAAATTCAACAACATTCCGCTGCACGAACGCACGCCGTATCGTATCATAATGGACGCATCTATGGTGGTTTGCCGCCACCGTCGCGATGCGTCGTACGGTAATGTACTTAAGGGTTAACTCACCAAGTGAAGCAATGCCTTGTGGTATTATGCTTTGCCCTTCTGGAACATTCTGTGCAGCTATAGAGGCGTTCGTCGCTTCTAGTACAAACTCATTTGTCCAGATTTCTTTGAAACTGTCCTTCATTTCTTTTAAAACTTTTTCCAAAGATGTCTGTAGACAAAAACAGGAATTTAATTAATATCTATTTTTAATCCAATAAAGTAAATGTCATAATTTAGGATCAGTAAAAGACTTTTACTAGATGTAGCTCATTTTCAAAAGTAATATTTTCGTTAATGGATTTACCGATTTACTTAATTTTCTATTTTTGGAGCTAAGTTATTTATTTATTTATTATACATATACTTTATTGTACACCTCATTGTTACAAAGGATAGCTTACAAACATTGAGTGTACAATGGGCGGTCTTATCGCACAAGGCGATCTCTTACAGACAAACTTAGATATTACCTACGTATACCTAAGGAAACTATACGCCATGTATATATATGACTAGTCCTTTACTGGTCATACTTGTTTATGAGATAAATTTAAAAATGTCGGACTACAAAAAATGTCTATATGCTATACCTGCAAAATATAAGCTTCCTTATCTTTACTAAAGTAGCTCAGAGCTAGAACTAATTCTTTGACAGACAATCTCAGGTCGTATGAAGCCGTGACTAGAGTATGCAGAGCCATGACTAATGCTACGTCTTCATACTGAGATCCTTCTTTGAGTGATGCCACCTTACGCTCGTGTTTTCTTCTGTTCTTACTTGATCGGAAGGATCGGCTGAAATTAGAAAAAAATACATAGTATAAAACAAAGTCGCTTTTTCTGTCCCTATATTCCTATGTATGCTTTAATCTTTAGAACTACGCAACGGATTTTGGTGCCTTTTTAATAGATGGTGATTTAGTAGGAAGGTTCATATGTACATCAATTAATGCGTTAAGTAGTAGGTATGTATTAGCATTGCACCCATGCGAACCCTAGAAGCGAAGGCGCTCGCGCGCGTCTACAGTTTGCGCGCAGACGCGCGTCGCCGGGGCGAAGATCCTCTGCCGCGCCAAATTAGTGCGTGGCGGAATGAGCTCCGGCGAGATCTCATGGCAGAGTGGAAACAACGACTGTCGCAACCGAGGGCCGGGCACGCTACCATAGCAGCGGTAAGACCCCTCTTTGAGGAGTGGCTTGAGAGACGCCACGGCGTCCTCACCTTCCGTCTGACGCAGGTGCTTACCGGGCACGGCAGCTTCGGTAGGTTCCTGTTTCGGATTCAGCGGGAGGAAACGCCCGAGTGTCGTCATTGTGAGGACCACCTAGAGGATACGGTGGAGCATACGGTAGCGGTATGCCCTGCCTGGGCTGAGCACCGCCGTATCCTCAGGGAAGTGATCGGCGGCGGCGACCTCTCGCGCCCGGCCTTAGTCGAGGCCATGGTGCGGAGTGAGAGGAACTGGGACGCCGTCTCCTCCTTTTGTGAAGCAGTCATGCTCGCAAAGAGAGAGGCGGCCCGCGTGAGGAGGAGGATTGCTCCCTCACGCGGGCCGCCGTATCGTACCGCTACCGTATGCTCCACCGTATCCTCTAGGTGGTCCTCACAATGACGACACTCGGGCGTTTCGCCACTCACGCCCCAGCAGCCGCAACTGGCGACACTACGGGCGTCGGGGATCGAGGGACGATCTCCGGCCACCGTAAGTACGGGCCTGCGGTCGGCGAGTAAGGGCAGCTCGCCGCCCGACCAGAACCAGGCCCGAGCGTACGGCGCGTAGCGTTCCGCGCGCGCCTCAAAGAGCCAATAGACCACCACAGACGGGGCCCTAAAGGGCTGATGTTCAGCCGGGGTTGCGGGGTAAGCGCAATGAGGTACCGCGACCTCGGCACAGAGCAGGAGAAGGAACAGGGGGGTTTTTAGTCAGTAAGAGTCTGACACTCCCTCCTGCCCGGCCCTGGGCGGGAGAAGTCATTTGATGATTTTCCCCTCACAAAAAAAAAAAAAAAAAAAAAAAAAAAAAAAAAAAAAAAAACCCATGCGAACCGGCGGGTTGCTAGTTTTTATTTAAATAGAAATAAATTGGAATATAAACATATCCTCGTATGTAGACTGCGATTTTCGAGCAAGCAATATCAGATACATTACCTTGGTCGTGTGCACTACTTTTGGCCTTTTTGGGATTTTCGAAAATTCAACGCCTTATACTTCCAACCCTAGCAAGCTCGCAACATCTTGGCACCAAACTTCATCAATGTAGTTTTACATAATTATCAAAACCCAATAGAACTTAGTAGTTTAGTCGTGAAAAAGTAATAGGCACTACTTTGACATGTTTACAAAGTTCAAGTCAAATACTCTATGCATATAACAATTAAATAATCATTATAATTTTGTGGCTATAAAATAATGGATCTAGTCTAATAATATAACAGTCAGATAGTAAGTACATACGTGGAACCCCTCGATGAGGCAACGGTGCTTCCAGCATCGGAATATAAATCACTGTCCTTATTGGTGTAGAAGTCGAATGTGTCTACAGGGTGCTTCGTTTTATTTTCTCTCACAACTTGCAGACGCTCTCGATGTCGGATAAACGTTGCATAGTTTGTCTCAATTAATTCTCTATTGTTGTTGTATTCTTCTAATAGCGCCGGTAGTAGTTTTTCTTCTAAAACAATGAAAAATATATTTTTTTCTTTATTAAAGGGTTCAAGGTATTTTTTAAATCTGTTGTTATAAGAAGTAAACATGCGTGATATAACCATATAACTAGATAAGTATAACATCATTTATGTGCAATTATGTAAGTAGGTAATAAAAAAAATACACAACAAACCTTTAAGATTCAATTTATCGTATTTCGAACAGAGCCGTAGTGCAGTTTTATATTGCGCACATTCAATCGCGTAAGAAATAGTTTGGTCACTGTTTCCATAAAACTGATCTAATATCGTTAATGCTTCTTTGTGACGCTTCTCTTGTTTCAAAGCTTCCACCAGATCCCTAGAAAAAACAAAGATGCGGAATAAAGTTGCAATAACTTGTTACTTCAATAAAATAACTCATGGAAAGGAAACATACCAGCACAACTCCTTAAATTGGTCTTCAGGCCACGATTGCGCCAAATTGATCGCCAATTCCCATTCAACAGCTTCCTTGTAACATTCAATAGCCTTATCTATACAATTGGCCTTTTCATAAACGATACCAGCTTCTGTGTATTGTTTCTTTAATTTCAAGTACAGCCCAAAGTCTTCAGATATCTCTTGAAATATTTCCTGGGTAGGCGAAAATAAGGCCAATGCCTCTCTATACAAACTATGGTACTTTACAAATGTTTTTAATTCGTTATGTCTACTAGCGCCACATAAAACAAGACTTTCCACGGCCCTATCAAACCTTTTCAAGTGTTTATTAATTGTAAATCTCTTGTAATTTTCTTCCATTTCATTTAGTTCATCAAGCATTGGAACATATTCTTTTGGATCTTTCTGCGACTTGTAGGCCACTAACAGCACTAAATCAAAGTCATACATTCCCAAGGCAACATCAAACAATTGATTCACATCAACCATGTAGAGAAGATACTTTAATGCTTCATCAGATCCAACAGGCAACTTTGATCCACCAGATTCTTGGATTTTCAGTTCTTTTATTATCAACAAAGCACTTTCCAAGTCCTTTATTGTATTCTTCTTCACAAATGTTGTAAGTAATGGCAATATTTTAGTTTCCTTATCTGACCTCTTTTTCAAATATTCTCTAACAATATCACATATTTTCTGTACCTTACAATCTACTTCGCTTTTAAGCTTTTCTGGTTTACCAGCATAACTACTAGAGTACATGGTTTTTGTTACATCTGAGTTTTCTAAATCAGACAAGAAGAGATTCAACCATGAAATGTTTTTAACAGAATCCAGGAATACCTCAATGTGTTTTACAAACTTTTCTGGATCATGGTCGTAAATGAGGTTCAAATTTATTCTCTGCTTCCTCATAAGGTCAAAAGCCTCATGATACTGAAGGCGATCTAGGAATTCTCCAATAATCTTTAAGGACAAAGGCCTAGGTTGGATAGTTTCTAGATTTCCTCTTGGCATTTGGAACACAGTTCTTGTATCATTTGGTACAGCAATAACCAATTTTGCTCCTCTTTCAATTTTCCTTTTGTAAACATGATTTGATTCAGTTTTCTGGTATTCACTAATGGCATCAATGCCAGTCTTTGTTAATTCAGTGCAAAGAAGCACATGCTGCAGTGTTGTTAACAATAGAAAATGAGTGTGGACAAAAAAGGAGCTAACATTGTTCATTATCATTCTGTCATTAATGTAGAGTTGTCCTTTATGTGACAATCCAATGAAATATACTTCATTGTCTACTGTAAACACATCAAATTTAGGACATGATACGCCAAATGAAACATCTTGGATATCAAGATCCTCACCAAGTTTACCAAATGCTATATCACCATCATGAAGTTGTAAAAACAATGATGTATGTTCAATTGGGTGTGATTGAATCCTTGTTATGGGTGCTGGCAAAGATATATCATGTTTCTTAACCATATTATTTTCAGAAATTAAATACTCAACCAGTTTAAAAGAATCATTATTTTCAACTGCATTGCAAACTACTGTGTCTGCATTAACCCAGAACCAATTGTAACATTGGAATGGATAATCATATTTAGGAGCTTCAACCGTTTTGGAAACTTCATATTGGAGAGGAAACTTCTCAGTTTGCTTGTAGAACACCAGCCTATTATCTGCAGTGTAAGCAAAGAAACAGTTGGGATTAGGATCTCCATTTTTCTCTGCCTTGGGAGCAAAATGTACAGAGTTAACATTGGCATCAAGTTTGATTTCAACAGCTGACATTGGTGGTGGTACAACAGTTTGTCTGAAACCTGTTAACAGGAGTTTACTCCCATCAATGACAGCAACTACTGCATCATCATCAGGCCCAAAGCCTCTGCTGTGGTCCACATTCCAAATCCAAGTATAAGAAAAATGTTGTCCATTGTGTAAAAACACATGCAATTTTTTGTTGTTGGCAATATCAAAGTCATTGTCCCACATAATCCTGCTGATGTTCTGGTCACTGCTAAATGTTAAGCTTTGTTTAAGGTACCAATGATAGTTTCCAATTGTATATAGAAGTAAGGTTTGTGTGTTGTTTTCTGTATTCCTGCACTGTAATGTCAATATTTCTGAATCTGAACTCCAACTAATATCCTCTACTAATGTATTAACATTTACAGGAATGTCAAACTCTCCATGTTTTAAGCCATTTTTCTCAAAGAATGAAACAAGGTATTTATCATTAATCTTTTGTGTAGTAGCAATAAGATTGCCACTAGGCCTCCAGGACAAGTTGGATTCTAAACCTTGTTGTTTTTCACTTGTGTACTGCAAATGTCCTTCTTTATCGAAAACCTTAAACCGTCTTATTCCGTCCATCATGAATCCAACAGCATATAAGTTTCCATCGCCTCTCCATGATATTTTTACAGAATTGTCTGCTATTTCAGGATCTATGACAAACAGTGCCATTTATTATGGTGTATGAAATGTTCTATAATAATAATTTTAATTAGATTTTCTATAACTTTAATTAATATACTTTAATATCTTACCTGCAGTGACTTCAGTTTTCTGTTTAGCAGCTTGTTTACCAGCTGACCCATGGAACTGAGTTTCTTTTTTCCCCCAACCAACAGTTATAAACTGCTTTTCTCCAAACTCTTCATTAAACAAGCTGATCTCATGTACAGGATCAAACATGCTCATTAGAATCATATTCATGTCTTTTGTAACTAATACCAATAGCTCTTGGTCTGGACTCCATTCCATAGCCTGAAAGAGATGTCACCATAGTGAATAAAATTCAGTTTTCTATTATTACTTTACATACTGATAATCAAAGCATATCCCAGGTAGACATTTTCCTTAACATAACATTAAAGTGGATTTCTCTTAATAAATACCTATAAAAAGTGTTCAAGACTATTTTTATTTGAATACCAAGTAATGCTATTTGAATAATTATAATGATACATACCAGTAGTCCACTGTCACACACTCCAGCTAAGTCTAAATTATTGCCATCATTGCTGATGGTAATTAATTCACCATTTGCAAGACCAACGCACAGGGTGTTGGTAAGTGTGAGAAATGTAATGTTAATCGGACTATTGTCAGGAGAAGCAACGTCTGAAAGATCTTGAGACCACTTAAGTTCATTATTTTGATCGAAATTAATCACACTTAGGTTATGTGTACAAACATAGATTTCGTTGGAAGAACTGACTTCGTCGTGGCCATTACACACTATAAGTTTGTCCACTGATTTAAGATTGAGATCTCCAACGGAGACATCCCAAACATTTAAGTTTTTCATTATTGCAAACTGTGTAAAATACGAACATAAACACGTTTTGAATCAATGATTTACTCAATGTCTTATATGTCAGTGTCAACGTCAACATGACATTGACATGAAATTGAAGATTTTAAGGAAAAGTTTTATACTTTGGCAACGAGTATTTTAATCAACCTGAATATGGAGTTAACTACCACGTATTAAAATCGAAAATAATTTGCTAGGAAAAGTATTTTATGTTCTGTATAATGATTATTATGTTGTATATCAGCCTTATTTGTAAAAGCCACTATCGCTTTTGACAAGTGTGCATGAATGAATGCAAAATATCTTTTTTTTCATTTTAAGTTCGACATCATTACTCACTTTATGTTTGCGAATTGTTATTGCTTTCAATTATTCGTCTACTACAATAATAAGTGGACGAAAATAAATTTGTTGGTAGTCTGTGTTCCCTGAAGGGTTGTCCCGGGTGTCCTCAAAGTCTAGATGAATAGGTTACGTAATATAGGCATGCTCATACTCATGAGTAGATAATAAATACTACCATTTAACACAATAATGTTTATCTCTATAAATTACAGAAGCTACAGCTAAGTAAATACATGGTAATCTATTTTAAACCTTAGGGTAATAAGTTGTTTCAAACTTCTTTCTGCACTTGGGATATGGTCTCAAAACCTTAGGAATATAAGGAGGTAGATGTTGATCTAATCTTCTAGTATACGGATTAATCCCTAATTCAAATGGTCTCCTCTTAGCTTCAAAGAATCTTGAGTTGAATTGAATCTTGTAAATACGTTCCCACATGTAAACTTCAGGAAGTAAGTAATGCTTTGGTCTATTTGATACTAAGTGTTTGTAACGGTTTTCAAGCCAGCAGCGCTTGTTATCATCGACAATATCAGCAACAACTTGTTCCTCCTCACCTAAATATGGTTTCATTTCATGGTCTCGTTCTTCAGGAGCATTCAAGTAAAACTGGACAATCATTTTCAACACATCTTCATTGAGCCCTTGTACTTTTCCATTCTCAATGCTGTCATACAATTTTAAAGGTTTTGTTCCAAAGCAAATATTACTTTTGGGGCTGTCAACCTTGTCTTGATGCAACTCAATGGTATTTAATTGGTATGCATAGAGAGACCATAGCTGACCATTGGTGATAACAGTTTGTGTAACCAAAGGATAAGTTACATCATTGTAAGTAGTGAATCCTTGGTAATTTGCTTGAGCTAGTAGCCAACCAAAGCTGGCTTTCATTGCTTGACAATGTAAAGCTTCAATATTGTCTTCAGGTCCAAAGGACTCCCTTCTGGCTAGGATGTGACCACGGCCATGATAAGACAACAAACCAAATTCATCAAAGTCACCAGGCCAGAAACCTGTAAAATAAAAAGTTTATTATTTTTCTCTGAAAATAGTGAAAAAAGAAGATATGGGTGAGATAAGTTAACATCTGAAATATTTAATGCTAAACAGCTGTTTGTAAATATGAAGGAAAACCAATAATTTCAAATTAAATAATTTGATAATTGTCTTTACCTGGTATATTAGTGCCATGTCTGTGTTCTGTAGTATAGCCAACAGCATAAGGTTCAGCTGTGAACTTAGGTACTTTGAATTCAGGATTCTCAGCTTCCTCAAAAGGCAGAATTGGCTTCAAAGGTAAACGGTTTCTTACTGTCAATATTGGAGTTCCTGAAATAAAAATAAATAAATATGAAAATTAAGTCCATATAATTTAAGATTTAATGTTTATTATGTGTTTACCTACCTTTATACTGAACAGGTCTGTCAATAGGCTCATACCAGCGATCCCTAAGCTTTCCATATTGCTGCCTCCACCTCAGAACATTAATGGGTGTATCTACACCACCAATAAACCAAAATGCTTCATGACGAGGGTCATAATCAATCTAAAAAGAAATAATATTACCTATATCATCATCACTCAAATGTATTTTCATAAAAACATTTTATACTTAGATTTAAAGGTTAAAGAAACAAAAAAGAATCTAGTTATAGTTTTAAATACCAATATAAATAAATTTATCATTTTGATTCAACCCTAATGGTTGAATGAAAGTGATTTGGCATTGTAAGTTTTTACAAAACTTATTAAAATGATAATATTCAAAATACTCATACTAACTTGAGATGACAACACATGTTCTACTTTATCAGACAAATTGTTAGTTATTATTCTGTTTATTTGCTTTACTATGCATTTAGCTAAAGCATCCTCTAACTGTGGTTGTTCTTTCTTTGATGTACTGGTAACAAATTTTCGGCTGAAACATAAAATTATTTGATTTAACAACACAATAATGTGTAAAATTATAGTTAAGTATTTAAAATAATACTTTCACAATTATAAAGGTAAATAAATTTATCATCAAATACTTACTCAACACCTCCATTCTCAATAAGAATAGCCTCTTCAATGAGACCCTTAATCTCTTGAACAACGGCATCGGCTCCTTCCCCAGTTTCATTGTAATATTCCGGGAGCTTATCAATAGGGATGAAATGACTTCTTGTGTAATATTGAACTAGTGGCATAGCATTGTAGGGCACTTTATCTTCATTAAATAAAATACATTTCCAACCATAATAACGAGGCATATTAAGAGCAATTTGTTTCTCCTCTACGGTATTTATAGCCTGAATCTTTCGATGAAGTTCTTGTCTTTCTCTTAATTTTTTACCTTGCAAAGACATATCCAAAATTGGTGGATATTCCGGTGTATCGGTGTACTCATTTTGTTCTACTAAAGCAGCTTGAGACTGCTGTCTTGTAAGTAACTTTTTTAATTTAGGAAACGTTCTGTGAACCCTGTTTAAATACATTTTGGGTTACAGTGAAATCACTTCGAGTTTGTAATATTTTGAAGGCTTTTTTGAGGTTATGTTTCGTTCTGAAACCGATCTTGTCAAAAAACCATTACAAAACGCAAAGAAGACATTAAGGGGCTTCTGAATTATTTTTTTGTAAAACGAATGTAACAAAAATTTTCAATAATCTTAGGACTTTCAGGAAATCCGTCTCTCCGTTAGCGTCAGTAAAGCCAGGCGCTCGGCCCAAATGTAGGTAAATTCGTATGTGGAGAAACGAGCAAGAAATTCAACATAACTCTATAAACCAATGTTTTTTACAATCTCACTGTTATATCATTTGGTCAGTATTTTTTTTTACTTTAAGCAACTTTGATGACTTTATCTGAGTATTATTTAATGAAGCCGGACCACCAAACATTTTTATAGACAAACATTTTTATCTTCTATACCTAATCGGACAGTTTGTAGGATGCTTATTTGCAGTTTAAGTTTTACAACTGTCATTTTTTTGTAAATGAATTGAGTAAGTCATATTTTCAATAGTTCTCATAGAAATTCACCACGACTTTTATTTTTTATTGGGATAGATTATTCAAAGAACATATTATGCAAATTCATAAATACATTTCAGTGCTGCCAACCAAAAATATTGGTGATACCAGAAAGAAATGTTCTAGGCTGATGCAACGTTTTGACATTAACCACAGCCTGATAGCCACCTGCCAAATTGTCTTGAAATATAACCATTCAGTAAAATATTTAACGTAATTTAGTGCTTTATTCTAAACTTAATCATGGATGATGATATGGTATTCGATCCATCTTTAAAGAAAAAGAAGAAGAAGAAGACTGGTTTTGACCTAGATGCCGCTCTTGCAGGCGAACAAGGTGAGAGCACGAGCGTGGAGGCACCCGCTGGGTCGGGTGACGTCGACTTGCCTGAGGATGATAACCTCGATTTGGATAATTTTGGCAAGAAAAAGAAGAAGAAGAAGAAGGGAGTCTTCAACATGGAAGAACTTGAAAGTACATTACCGGAAACACCTCCGGCCGAAGAGCCGGAACAACAAGAGGACGAAGTTATTGACGACTTAGATCTAGATATTGACTTCTCGAAAACGAAAAAGAAGAAGAAGAAGAAAAATATCGAGGAACTCGTCCTTGAGGATGACACCAAGGGAGAAGATCAAGAGAACGTGGAGGATGTTAGTGGGGACTTATGGAGCGGTACAGACCGTGACTACACGTACGACGAGCTATTAGAGAGAGTGTTTGACATCATGCGAGAAAAGAATCCAAGCATGGTTTCTGGTAAAAAACAGAAATTCATCATGAGGCCTCCACAAGTTGTTAGAATTGGAACTAAGAAAACATCGTTTGCCAACTTTACAGAGATCTGCAAAACTCTTCATCGGCAACCCAAACATTTATTAGACTTTTTATTGGCTGAGTTGGGTACAAGTGGGTCTGTGGACGGCAACAGCCAACTTATTATCAAAGGACGTTTCCAACAGAAACAGATAGAGAATGTACTTCGTCGGTATATTAAGGAATATGTAACATGCCACACATGCCGCTCCCCTGACACCATCCTCCAGAAAGATACTCGATTATTCTTCCTTCAGTGTGAAACATGTGGTTCCCGTTGCTCTGTGGCCAGCATCAAGTCTGGTTTCCAGGCTGTCACCGGTAAACGTGCTGCCATCCGTGCAAAGACTGCATAGAGTATTAGTGCTTAGTGATAAACTAATTATACAGTCATGGAACTGGGGTACATGCAGCCATGGGCCTTATTTTTGCTGTAATATTTTGTATGTCAGCTGTTATCAGGTGCTGGCCATTGTTATTGTGCAATTTGTTAGTATATAGACAAATATGAAGTACTAGCTTCTAATTTCTCTATGTACCTTGGGTATTTATTATTCAAAAATCAATTGATCTAGAATGAACTAACAAAGTTCTTAATAAAATTGTATACCTACCTTAAGTTGCATACTTCAGTCAAGTTATCAAAAATGATTAGTGATGTGCTCAAAGATTTTGTGATTGGCTGAATGAGGTATTGCCTGAGTGTACCCCATTTTAACCCCTATATTTATGTATAGCTCACTACTGTATTATTCTCATTGATACACAATGGTTTTATAAATTGTTGTTTTATTTCATAACTTAAATAAAACACATTTTTATGACATAACAAGTTGTATACTTTCAAAAACATAATATGATTAATTGTATAAAAATAGACATTAGTAAAAATAAACACTTTGGAATATAATTAACATTTAAAAAAATATGTTATAACAGTTTAGTGTGCATTTAAGCTTATATTATGTTAAAAATAATAAAACAAACAACAAATAAGCACCATTAACAACACAATAAAAAATGTGAGCTGCTAATTTATAGCCCTAGCTATTGGAAACAACTTGAGGTACAAAATCATGCTTGACAGCTTTGTTGAGACTATCAGCATACAAATCAAGGCGCTGGGTCATTGTAAAGCCCCATTTATCTTTGATCTGTCTACATAAATTAAGATCTATTTGGCTTATCAGCAAGCCATCTTTTACTCTGGATAAAGATGGAGTTCTGGCACCATCAGGAGCAGTGCAGTAGCTCGATCCATAGAAATGACCGAACTCTTTGTGGGCTGGCTTGCCATCTCCAGAAGTAAATTCGTTAGGGAATGATTCAGTTCCCACTCTATTGATAGCAAATGTAAAATAGCTGTTGGCTATAGCAGCATTCCTGGCTTCAACAGCCCATAAGTGCTCACTCAAACCTGCTACAGTAGCTGAAGGGTTGAACACAATTTCAGCTCCATTGACTCCAAACATGAGCCAGTTAAGTGGGTGGTGACGCCCATAACAAATGTTAATAGCTATTTTGCCATATTTTGTATCAAACACCGGGTGACCAGTGTTGCCTTCAAAGTAGTAAGTAGATTCATTAAAATCTCCAACACGAGGAATATGGTTCTTGCGATGCTTTCCTATCACCTTTCCTACTTCATTAATGACAACAGCAGTATTCCAGATGGTGTCTCCATGTATCTCATCTCTTTCCAAAATTGGTGATACAATGACCATCCCATATTTGATGGCTAAATCTTTTAAAAATTGAGTACTGGGTCCATTTACTGCAGATTCAGCAAATTCACACCAAGGCTGCTTCTCCCTTGTGCAAAAAGCAAATGGCATGCTCCATGCTTCTTGTAAACAAAGCACATTCACACCTTCCTCTCCAGCTGCTTCTATGATTTTGCGTATTTTTTCAAAAATTCCTTGTCTCTGCTCCACCAATGGTTTATCAGTGGATGTCGCAATTGAATGTTGAATGACACCGACTCTTACTATTCGTGGACTCCTAGTTTCTTCCTTTTTAGTAGGAAAATCATAAGAAGCTATTTCAAAACCATTTTCCTTGGCAGTTTCTTGGGTACTTTCCTTTATGCTCAGCTCGTTATGTTGGGTGCGCCCATAGTGTATTCTATTATACTCTTGCAATTCACTGCCTGACAAGTTTTTTGATATCAACAGGTCTAAGCTCTGTAGTTCAGAAGAAGCTGCCATTGTTAATATCTACTCAAAAACTCGATTAAAATCGTGTTATATTATAAATTTTTGCCTCTACAGATATGAGTACCGAATGGACTGTGAAATTCGTATCAGTTACTAAACAGAAATAACTAAATATCAAACAGATAAAGTTGTTGACTGTTGAGAAAAAAAAAAAGATGATAAACTCCGATAAAGACAAAAGTCAAATAATTTCAAGATACATAACAGAAGTAACAAAAATAACAAAATACAGTCATTCAATAGAACGTAACATCTGTTAAGTAGGTACTTAGGTAGTACAGGGTTAACCAGGGGCTTCAAACTTAGAATAAAAAACTGGGGACAGTAATGGATACAATGATACAAAATGACAAAGTCTGACGTAGCCCATGTTCAAAATGAGTTTTAATGTGTTTTTAAATTTGTCGGGTTACATCGTGACGTAGACGGATGATGTTAACAACATGAATAAGAGATGGCAGTTTGGTCTTCTTTTTCGCTGTAGATCCAATAGATGGCGTTAGAGAATGATAATGAAAATAATGCTGTGTATGCATGCACACACACAAAGAAGAATGCATAGATTATAGTAATATACTAGAGAAGAAGAATGGAATGGAAGAATGTCTGCTGATAGCTCGCTTGCACCGGTTATTTTGCGATATTTTGTTTGTGATCTCCTTTTTGTGTTTCGTTCTGAATTTCTTGTCGAGTTGAGCTTACGTTCCTCCGAGTAATGCATAATTGTGAACAGAGAAGGTTTTTCTAATTGAGGCAGGATTCTTGTGAGTGAAGTTAACCTACAATGTCTTCGGGCAGATACTGCTGTGTCCCAGGGTGTAAAGAGAGAGGAGGTATGCCAGACCAGCTATTTATTTATTTAACACAAGCTTCTTCACTTCTTACAACAGCAACAAGTTTATGTGTAACGAACTCATAAACTTGTTGTCAATCCCAAACAATACAAATCAAATTAAATGTACTATGACATTTAATGAAATCAACAGCACAAGTAGACCTATATTTTAAAACCTATAGCAATATACTTATAAACTTAATTTATTTTTCTCAAGCCCCATTTTGACTTAAGACTAGCTACTAAATATAAAACATTTTAAAGTGCACCTAAAAAAATATTTGATTGAGAGGTGCTACTATAATTTGACAGAATTTCTAACAGATTCCTAACATTATGACCTTTGATTATTAATATTAATAATAATACATATTAATAATCAAAGATTATGACATTTTTATCCATCTGTTATTCAATTGGTTCCTTTAGGTTTTTTTTTGTGTTTATCTTTGTAATGCCATGTAAAAATCATTATATTAATTTTAATTAAGTTAATACATTTGTACGCTGTTAGCCACAGCAAAACATGAAGGTTATTGTACTCCTTTTAACATCCTACATTACAACATATAAATATGTATCTTGTTCTGTATACTCGTGTTTTACAAATAAATTATCTTTATCTTTACTGCCTATCATGTTTTTTTATGAGTTTAATGGAGCCAATATTTTTATTGCAAGTTTACATATTTTATAATAAAGTTGATATCTTGACAATGCAGCTGATGTTATGTGTGTGAATTTGATTATTTTTCAATGATAAAACTTTATTATTTATTTAAGGTATGCATCAAGTACTTCATGGGTTCCCGAATCCTGTAGTTGATAGAGAAGGCTTCAATACTTGGCTGTATGCAATTAACAGTCTTGAACTTGTTTGAAGAATGAACAAATATTGAACCATAGAGTGTGTCATGCTCACTTTGAGGATAAATATTTGTGCCGTAACAACAGAATCAGTAATATTGCCGTGCCAACATTGAAAATGCGCTGTAAGTATAACACTACATATTGCAAAATACTTTTGGATAAACACCCCAGGTTACACACCCCCAGTGCTACATTGTCATATGCAACATGTCAGAATTGTAAGCATTTTAAGACTGATATCATAAAAACTCTTATATGTATATAAAATTCTTGTGTCAGAATGTGACTAACTCCTCTGAAATAATTTTATCAAATTTTATATCCACATTCAGTAGATCTGAAAAATTGGCTAATATTTCCTACCCCTAAGTGATAAGAGTGGTTCATCCATAACATTTTTAACAGAGTTAAACCACACAAGAACTTATATTACAAAACCCTAATATTACAATATTATTTTAAACATTCCAACATTCTTATTTTGCGTAAACAAAAGTGTCTCACAGGCTAGTGTTATGACAAAATTTATATTTAATGCCTTTGTAATTAATTGCTTTATTCAAATACCTATGTTTTATTTTTCAGCATTACTGTCTCGGACTTCGTTAATAAATACCACCAGACAGCCTTTGCAGCAAATTCAGAACCTACAATCAACATAATCAGGTAAATATAAATGACACCAATTCTTCCCATGGTTGCCGGGTTCTACACCTAGCAAATGCTAGTACAATGTCAATGTACTTTACAAGTTTATCGAGGACATTGGTGACATTGTAAAGCATAAAATTATGTATAGCTGCCTGTTGTTAATCGTAAGACATTGACGGTTGTTACATTTAGTCAGAAGCCAGAAAGTTGGTCATCATGCCATCATCGATTTATTTCACTTCATAGCATCTAAAACGTATAATTATGTAATTTTTTTACTAAATAATTTGAATTGCTATATATATTTGCTTTTTTTTTCAGCACCGTTGACTCCTCCTTCAACCACTAGCCTACAACAACTAAATCTGGGCCATGGACCATCACCCTCAAGTAATTATAATTTAATTAAATCCCTGAATGAGTCCACTTCATTCTCCAAACAATAGCTATACCAATGTTTATGATTTAAAGTATCTCATTTTAAAGGGCACAACTAGAAGCTAATTTACTTATTGTTGATGAGTAAATAAGTGCTTGTGCAGTAGACTGACTAAATATCGTGTGTATCCTATATGCATTACTTGAAACAATGCACAAAAAAGAAATTAATGAATCTCAGTCACCCAGGCACTTTCTCATGTAGTCCCCGTCCTTATTACGCTACAACATATTCATTCGGTACTATGTAGATATAACGTAGTAAGCACACTTTAAAGTGTGGTTAGACTAATAAGTTTGGGTTTGTCCAACAAATTATGGATTTTTTTGCAATTGTTGACTTCAAATTGTTTTTGTTCAAGTTTACATTTTATACTTATATATTTTTTTCCTTTATTTTAGTGGCGCCATATACAAAAGTTATAAATTCGTGCAATTATTCATTTCAGGTCTCACAGCTACAATGCAAGAAGCTGCTTTACCAAGTACTTCAGAAACGAATGTGCATCTTAATCTAGGTAAGTTGTGCAAATAAAATCTTGTGTATAACTAAAAAAAGTTTTGAATAAATAGATTAACTTTATTTAATTTATATAATTACAGGAGAAAAAATAACAGTGAAGAAAGCTAAGAGTCGAGTATTCCTTACGAATACAGAAAAGTACCTGCAGGATAAACTTGTTGCTGCAAGTATTAAGTTAAGCAAAATGAAAAAACTGTCTGTCAATGTAAAAGCAGCGAAACAAATTGCATCCAACCCTGCAGTATGCGACATACTAGAAAATTGTACGAGTACAAGAAAATTATTAATTAGTATGCAATGTCAAGAGGACCACAAAAAAGAAAAGGAGTGACGTTTTACGTTACAAGAAAAAATTGCTTCCTTATCTATTTTTAAGCAAAGTCCCAAAGGATATAGATTTCTGAGATTTTTTTTATTTTGCCTGCTCAGCAAACACTAATTAAGTTAGTACAAATTTGTAACATCAAGCCTGGGATAAGCAGTAATATTTTCTCTCAATTGAAAAATAAAGCTGACAACATGAAAATAGAACAAAGGTTATGTGTTGTTATGTTTGACGAAGTTTCTTTGAAGAGCAATGTTGCATATAACGAGAGAAAAGATAAAATCACAAGTCTTGTTGACAATGGGCAAAACAGGAAAACTGAATTTGCAGATCATGCTCAAGTCTTTATGTTACGTGGCTTAATTTATAATTATAAGCAGGCAATATCATATACATTCGCGTCGAGTGCTACTAAGAGACCTGAACGAGCTCAACAAATAAAGGACGTGATAAGAGGTTTGCAAGAATCAGGGTTCATAGTTGTTGCTACTGTATGTGACCAGGGTCCTAATAACAGACAGGCTCTGAAACTGTTAATTAATGAGAACAGGGCAATTTATTTGAGAAAAGGTGAAGAGCCTAAAGAAAATAAAATTTTAATAAATGGTCAAGAAATTGTACCACTTTATGACCTGATGATGATGACACTGATGACATCTCCTCAAAGGAATTAGAAATAACTTTATGTGCAAAGATTTAGAATTCACCAAAGATGGTGTAACAAAAATTGCAAAATGTTCGCATTTAAATTTACTTCTCAAAGAAAACCCTGGTTACAAAGGCATTAGGTTGATTCCAAAATTAATGGAATATCATATCAACCCTCTAAAAATTAATAAAATGAAGGTTAAATTTGCCTCACAAATATTCAGTCGTACTATGGCGTCTAATATGGGATACTTGGCAGGTAATGTATGTTTTATTTATTTATTCAAACTTCATGCACAAGGCGGGTACATAGGCGGACTTAATGCCTAAGGCATTTTCTACCAGTCGAGCCTTGGGTGATGCAGAGCTGTGCCGGTGCAAGAAGCAAAGCAAACAGACTTTATTTTATATGATTCAAAACGAGATAGATACATATATATGTGTGTGTGTGTGTGATAGATACATATATTTGTTTTATTGTATAACTAGAATATGCAACAAGCGAATGTACTATTCCGGAAAATCTAATATCTCACGAAAGTGTTATAATCAGTCACGTTTTGAAAAAATACTTGTTACGTGTTTGAAATCAATTGAAGTAGTTTGCAAAAATAAATATAATTCAGAACTTTAGGCGATTAAACTGTCATACAATTTTTTTTTTCAGGTAAGAACATACTTCCCGCTGAGTGTAAGGACACCGCTGATTTACTGCTGTTCATGGACAATATCTTTGACTCCGTGAATGGCAGTCGACAGAAAAATAGAAATGCAAAACCCTTACTAGGGCCAGCAACGCCAAACTCGGCACATCACCAAATTTGGATTGAGGGAGTACAAATTTTTAAATCGATGAAATTTGTATCGAATGGTAAAAAACAATCGGTTCCCTCCATTACCAATTGGGTGTGGACACTGAGTAGAATAAATAAACTACAAAATGAGTTTAACGTGTCGTCAGTGTGGTTGCGGCATCTTAATCAGGACCCCTTGGAAAATTTCTTTGGGGCGGTAAGAAGCCAAGGGTGCCGCAATACTAATCCCACCTGCGACCAATTCGAATCGGCTTTCACCACATTATTAATAAATAATATAAGCAGTGTCCACACCCGCGGAAACTGCGAAAAAGACTTTTGCGATGCATTGTATTCTCTCACCATCAACGAAAATGCAGAAACAACGTCAACCTGCTCATCGTTTGATTTTTCAAACATTATTGAATTTAATTTTACACCTATAGAAATTAAAGAAAGGGATCCCCGTATTGTTGGACCTCTCCAATATATAAGTAGATATTTTTTGAAGAAAATTAAATCTAAAATATTTAAAACTTGTACAGATTGTTGTAACCTATTAATGGAAAAAAATGAAATTGAGTATATAAAATACAGGGAATACGCAGGTCGACGATGGCTTTGCACTCCCAGCAAGAAGTTAATAGAGCTGATTTCCAATATGCAAGATTTAATCAAACAAAAGAAAATATAGAAAAATTATATTTAAAGCTAATCATTAATACAGCTGTTAGTAGTTTTGTTGATTTTACATTTATAAAATGTATAATAGAGAAAAAATAATAGATTTTTTAATTAATATTGTTATTAGATTTATAATTACTGTAAAAATATCAATATAATATTAGCTGGGAGAAAAGATGTTGATGATGATGAGAACAAATTGCAAGTTAAAGCTAAAAAGTTAAGCGAGTACTATAGAAAAAACAAATAAACTAGATTTTCATCAAATATGTTGTTTCATTTATATCTCTTTTTGTTGTAGCAGTAGATAGTGTAATTCACTATAAGAATTGTAAAATATTTAAAGTGAATTACACTGTCTACTACTCGTTTCAGTCACGTAGTTGAGCAGTAACGAAAAACAACCAACAATCTATAGATGCACATCCATAGTATAGATATGGTTATATATATAATAAAAATGTTGTCTAACATGGATTACAGATGGCGCTGTTAGTAGTTACCCAATTTGACATCGAAGATTGGTCATTTCCTATTGTTAAAATGTACTCTGTGGGGTTAACCTCATCAAAGAGTATGTAACCACTACGTTTAAACCTCATTAGTTTAAATATGGTTTAAATTACCTATGTAAAATGTCAAATGTAGGAAACCATTGAATTATTGAAAGAAAACTTTTGAATTTGACAGATAATTACTACTCTCTAGTCTGGTAAAGTATTTTGTACGTAAAAGTGTTCTTTCGGACTTTCGGTAAAATAATTCAAAATAAAATAAAACAAGTTTATTTATTTTATACAGTTCTTTCATTCTTTGCACATACGATAACACAGATGTTTATGATAATGCTTTGCGTCTGTGTTTGTTGTATTTTTAGAAGTATCAACTAGTATCAAGTTATTATTTTTTATAAAAAGTATTATTAATTGTTAAATCAATTCTTTCGACTAATGACAGTCAGTAACACTAATATTATAAAGAAATAGTAAAAAGTTATTTTCGTGTATATATTATTATTGTAGTCAATAAATTATACAGATTACTAGAATAAATTAAAAAGTAACTGTGGCAATAAAAACCATACAGAAAAATAATACGCCCGCTAGTGTAAGATGCTTAGTGTAAAATAAGAATTATGCATAATATATACACAATTTCAAACCCAATATTAATTGGATCATGTACTCATTTGGATCTGTAAAGTGTTTCGTGAAATAAAACAATTTTCGATCTGCTAGTTATCGTAATATTCTTTCTCATCGATACTCTATGGTCTAACTAACAATGTAAGTGTCATTACAAAGGAATGTCACTATTTTTTGTAGGTTACTGTCAATCATTACTGTCAATCGGTGAATTTCAGTATGGTTATTGGTTGTGTTTATTTCTTCATTGCCAATATTATTTAATTTTCTACTGAGACGTTTTACTCATTTATTTACATCTTTAAGACTATCAAACTATCTTCATCTAATTGTGGTACTTTGGTCAGTGGGTCGTCTTACAACTAATCGATCGTGTTAAACTGATTGAAACACAACATCGTAGAACAAGATGAATACGCTGCCAGCCCAACCCATTGGGATACAAAGTACAGCAGGTGCTGTACCCATTCGAAATGAAAAAGGTTAGTAAACATTGAGATTATAATATCAGTTACAAAAATCATTTGTATTAAAATCATCATAGTTTTCATTGCCAGATGATCTTGAACATTTTATTGTTTGCAGGAGAGATTTCTATGCAGAAGGTGAAAGTACAGAGGTATATATCAGGTAAAAAGCCAGACTACGCACAAGGCGCGTCGTCGTCAGAAGAATCTGATACAGAAGATTTTATAGAGCAACAGAAACCAGATCGCAGGCAGCAAACTTTACCACAGATAATAAGCAAGAAGGAAGAACATCATAGCGATTCTGAGAAAGAAGTTAGTTTAATCTGATGTATTTGTTTTATTAAAACTCTTGCCTTAAGGTGAGATAATGATGAAAATCTTGCATGTTTTACATTAAAATGTAGTTTTTTTAATTTGTTAAAAATTTGCATAATTAGGTGGATGATCCTCGTTTACGGCGTTTAAGACAAGCAGCCCAGTCACCACCAAGACGAGCTGAACACAAGCCAGAGATCATTGATGCAGAACCAGAGGAGGAACATGAGAGTAGTGTTGAGGAATTCAAGGACAGTTCTGAAAGTGAAGATGAACTTGAGGAGGAGGAGATTGAGAGACGCAGACAGGCTCTTAAAGCTAAACTTGCTGCCAGGTGTGTAAATAAAAAATATGCCTTTAGATTTGGCTTCAATGTTCAATGTTGTTTAGCTAGATCATTATTTTAAAGGTTAAAAGTGCACATTACTTTTATGTTAATAAAAATGTTCTTTAAATGTTTTCATAAGTAAATTGTGTGTTAGATGACAGATTTGATTAACTTTATTATGATCTGTAAAAGATTTTATCTCCAACTCAATCAAAATTTTATACAGTTTCAATGCAAAATAATTTCAAGTGTTGTACCTATGTAGAATATTAAACATAATAATATGTATGGGGCACATGGCTCACTTATTTGGTTACCTTTTAAAATTATAATATGGCACATTATTATTAATTTGTTCTTACAGGGAAGCTGAAAAGGAGGTTCTGGGTAGAGATGATGATGAGGAAATGTTGGATGGAGATAAGGAAGAGAGTGGTTCATCAGACACTGAGTACACAGACAGTGAGGAAGATACAGGTAAAGTGATTAAAGTTACAATATGATTTAATGACAATTTTATTGTTAGTTGTTTGTTAGTACAGTGACTGCATGGTGGCTGGGCAACTGGCCGCCGCGCAACGTGACGTAAGTTCGATTCCCGCACGCAACAAATCTGTGTGATCCACAAATTGTTGGTCCAGGTCTGGGTGTGATTTGTATGTGGAATTGTATGTTTGTAAATGCACCCACAATACGGGATAAAATCTTAGAGTGGGGCAACATTTAAAAAAAATATCATTTTTAATTATAAATAATAATCATTTTTCTAATCCTTTCATTATTTCTCTGCAGAGCTGTGATTGCTATTTACTTACATTCTTAAAATAAATTAAAGTTTTGAATACAATAGTTGGTCTCACCATTATTTACGACCATTGGTGTTACAAGTGAGACTGTGTTTAACAGAATATACATGAAATGCTTTTGTTTTTCATGCTACATTACACATTATGAAGTACATTCATTTCCCAGGCCCACGCGTAAAGCCCGTTTTCGTAAGAGCTTCAGACAGAATGACAGTCCAGGAGCGAGAAAGGAAAATAAAGCAGCAAAAGAAAGAGGAAGCAGAGGCTAGGAAAGAAAAAGAAGAGAGGAGAAGAGAGGCTTTAAAATTGGTTGAAGAGACTATCAGATCTGAGCAGAGAGCTACACAGGTTTGTTATGCTATAAATTATACAAAAGGTTACTGATCCTTGAAAGAAGTAACATGTAAATGCTACTAGTAAGGATTTTTGTCTGAGTAAGGAAATTTCCATAAAACTGCTATGATCACTCATCGGCAAACGAGCATATGAATTACCTTGCCAAACTCACACATTTTATTTAATAGATAGGCAACCGAGCAGACATTTTATTTGATAGATTGGCAAACGAGCATTCGAATTACCTTATGGTGAGCAATCGCCGCCGTCTATGGACATTCGCAATACCAGTTATGTGTGCGTTGCCGACACCTATATCCAGAGAAGAGTGCGTTGTCGGCTTTTTCGGGTTTAGGGTTTAGGGGAGGATGGGAAGGATTAGGCCTCCGGTAACCTCACTCACACCGCAAAACACACACTGCAATTTTTTTACGCCGGTTTTCTGTGAAGCCGTCTTATCATTTCGGTCGAGCCGACCCATGCAAGGCTATCTCACAGTTAAAATGTAACTTATTTTTATTCCAGGGTGAACACAAAGAAGGTAATATCAATGACGTGTGCACTGACGACGAGAACGATGAACTTGAGTACGAGGCGTGGAAACTGCGTGAAATGAAGCGCATCAAACGCGACAAGGAAGAGAGAGAAGCGTAAGTATCCTTTTCCATATAATTTCAATTAAGCAAAGAAAAATATATCAACAAAAGGGATTAAATTATGCGTAGTAGATCCATGTTTAAGCATGAATGGGGCGGCTAAACAGAATGGTACCAAGGCCTCTCATGACTCTAGTTCGAAAGTGTAAGAGAGTCATACCAGTGTAGTAACACGGCCTCACTGAAAATCGGCATGAAACAACACTTTGTTGAATTAATCGTGGGAGGTTTGGTTACCAGAGAACTAGTCTTTCTTTAATCCTCAAATGTTAAAAAAATAAACTTAATTATAGACTTAATAAAGATAGATATTGCTTGTTTGCCGCCTTATATTATAAAAAAATTGGTGTCGGCGTTAAATAAGGCCTTATTTCCTCATTCGAGGTATCCCAATTCTTCCATTTTAAAGAAACATATGTCTGTCGGAAAATCCCTATTGTTTGTTGAAACACTTAAGCATAACTCAAAACTAACTAGATTTAGGGCAAATACCAAAACTTAATGTTTTTTTTAATTTCAGTGTTGAAAAGGAATTGCTAGCTATCGAGCGTATGCGTAACATGACTGAAGAGGAACGCCGCGTGGAACAACGTCTTAATCCAAAACTCGTCACCAACAAGTCTGTCAAGGGCAAATACAAGTTCCTACAGAAATATTACCACAGGTATTGTATATTCATTATTATTTATACAATGGAAGTAAATGCTATCTTTATAAAATCATGTTTTGATCCCAGATATTTTTTAACTGTCGTAAGTGCCAAATGTTGCCCTCTCGGAATAGTTAGAATCAGTTTGTTAATAATGGGTAATATATAATTTATATTATTTTTCAGGGGTGCTTTCTACTTGGATAAAGAAGACGAGGTGTTCAAACAAGACTTCTCTGGTCCTACTTTGGACGATCACTTTGATAAGACTGTTTTGCCTAAGGTAAGTCTATATTTTATTGTTGTAAATAAAATTATTTTTCCTAGTTTTGTGGTAAAATGTTGAAAAAAGTTCCAAAGCAATATCGTGGTATAGCACTAGCATGATCCGGAGCTGTGGGTATTAAGTGCAATAAAGATCTGTGGCCCTGGCTCACAGTAGGAGAAGCAGTAGTAGTTTTTAGTCAGTAACCAGCTTAACGATAAAAAACCGATTAAAAAAAACAAAGCACTAGCATGGTCATGGAGTGAATTCCTTCACGGTCAAGCCATGAAAATAATAACCTCAAAATATCTAATGATGGTATCACTTGAAAAACAATTTACTCCTAATCATTCTGAAATCATAATATATATAAATTTCAGTAATCTGAAGGTTGTAATTCGCTCAACAACATTATTTTATCTCTCTCACAGGTAATGCAAGTAAAGAAATTCGGTCGCTCGGGACGTACGAAGTACACACATTTGGTGGACCAGGATACAACTGAGTTTGATTCAGCGTGGAGCAACGAAGGCGCGGCAGCTAGGCTGGCTAACTTCAGGGGCGGCATGAAACAAGTCTTTGACAAACCGTCCGCTAAGAGGAAGCATAACGTCTGATAATATCGTACACCTTATCACTGTACAGTTGAAGAAAAAATAGGCACCTATGGTAGCAGTGGCCAATTGACAATTCACGGGGTTTGCAGTAAGTTTTACCGCCAAATTTCCCCTTACTGCGTGGCGTCAACTTTTGCGCTAACTCCTTTTGTAAAAGATATGAAGCAATATCTAGTTAAATCCGGCACAGTATAAGAACTAACAAACCCCCAACATTGTGTTCCAAATGTACTGAATATTAGTAATTTATACGCTCAGCAATGATTAGGTACTACCCAGAAGTAAAAAATAACCAAACAAATAAAATGTTTTTGCATGTCCAACAGACGCCAGCAGAATATGTTAGTGATATTTGACTTTAACGTTTCGTACGAGAGTCCAAAATTTAATGACATTGTTAGTATCAGCACTACAGATCAGATGCCATATCTTTTTTACCGTTAACTGTACTAAAGTATTGTGTCTTGTGCTGTTATTATAATGATGACTGTAAATATTACTAGGTTAATGAAGTCTTAGCATTAAGTTTGAAAAATAAATTGTTCAAAAATCACATTTTGGCCTTATTATTCTTTGCAAAAACTTAATCAGTTCTTTATATCCTGATGCCCAGGCATTATTTGAGTACGTATTCCGTTACAAAGTTAATGCGCTGTCACAAAACCGATTGCGGAGAACGTCATTAATTTTCTGCTCGCAAAAAAGCCTTTTCGATGCAGATTACAAACCAGTTTGAAACAAAAGAGCAATGCTTCGGCAGGTATGGTATCATACCAGATACCACGGCCTCCCAGAGAACCGGATTGAAACAACGCTTCTGTTGTTGTGCCTTGTGAATTACATTATCGAAGGCCTACCCGCATCCCCAATTCCCTTATCCTCAAATCCCGGTAACCCCAAAAGCCAAGCAAAGCCCTTAAAACTCCTCCGGTTTACCATCATGTGATTCGTCTGCTCGTTTGCGCGCATACCAAACTTCAACCAAATCGGTCCCGCCATTTTTGCGATAAAGAATAACAAACATACCTACACAATTTTCACATTTATGATATAAGTGGGATTACAGGATTCTCAAAGGCGATAGGTAGGATTTAATAGGTACTAGGTGTACTCTCAAACTTAACGGAAAAAGGAAAAATGACAATGTTCTTAAGTTAAACTTATTACGCTACCTACATACCTACCGTACCTACAATGGGGTGAATAGAAGAATTTGAGGGGTGAATGGATACAGAAAAGGGGTGATTAGATGTTGGCGGATTTTCCTAGTAGGTATCTATTTACCTCTCTTCTGCGTCTATTCACCCCGTTTCACCGTAACTATCACAAAATACACATAAGATAGGTAATGAAGCCACTATTCAGAAGGAAAAAATAGGCACCTACAGTTAAACTCAAGATCATCTCTTTTTGTTAAGATAGTTCGAAAATTACCTAAAATCCAAGCGAAGCGAGGACAGGTCGCTAACAGTATTAGGTAAGCTGTTATTGCAACAGTGAGAAGCTTCTTTTCTTTAAGGAGTGACTTAAGAGATGCCATGGCGTCCTCACCTTCCGCCTGATGTAGATGCGTACCGCGATGCTAGGCAGCTTTGGTGGGTTCCAGTTTCGGATCCAGCAGGAGAAAACATCCGGGTGTCGTGATTGTGAGGACCGTCCGAAGGATACGGTGGAGCATATGGTCAAATAGACCACCACAGATGGGGCCCAGCATGGCCAATGCTTAGCTGGGGTGTAGCGCAGTAAGGTGTCGCAGCCTCGGCCTGGAGTAGGAGAAGTAATAGGAAGGAATGCGGGGAGGGGGTTAGTCTGTAAGAGTTTTCACAACAAGTCTCACAACTTCTGACACTCCCTCTCGCCATATGTACCCTGGGCGAGAGAAGATAATTAATGATATTCCCTCCAAAAAAAAAAAAAAAACTAATAGTATGATAAATGTTAGACAAGAATATTGATCGGTGATTATAAGTCAGTGAGTGTTCAAGTAGCTGTGCAGATTCATAGCATGAACCCTGTATGCATCAAGCAAGTCTCACGACTTCGAATGGGTTTAGCACAACTTCTGTCGTTACCAACTTTTATATAACGCGCAAACGATACGACATTGGAGATTTTAACTTGATTTACGTCTTTTCATCTTACTTCTTAGGTACAACTAACGTTATTTGTTTTAGTTTCTTAATTTACCACATAAAGTTTGTTATTACCTCCAGTTTCATTGCCTAGTAAGAAAATTAAAAACTAAAGTTTTTACTTTTTACACACGTTTCTATTCTAGAGTGCACGTAGGTAAGTACGTAAAATTTGTTGATATGTATTTGTTACGTGTGTTAATTTAGAGTGTAAACTATGACCCTGCACAAATCCAGTACCTACACTTTAAACTTTATGAATTTATAGATAGGTATTAGGTACCTAACCTAGCAACTTACAAACGCTGTTGTAGAGATACGAAAAGTGGAATCTGGACACCCAAAGTTCAGACATTTTTCTTTCCCATCAAGGAGAAATAAATACCAATGTAATAATTCTAAGAAGGTATATTAAAATATTTTAAATTACTTAATTATCAAATAGAAATTAAAACTATCAAAAAAGTACACAATGGAAAACATTGCATGAAAACATGGCAATGAAGTCGGTTAACAAGTACTTAGAAAACTTGTCCTACATATTACATTTATCTGGTCCCGGGAGTTTTATAGTTTGGTAGTGGTCCGGATCTGGTTGCGGTCCGCTGCGAGATGCAGCGTCGCGGGTCAGCAGCCATACACGTCCGTACTGCGGAACGTGTCTACTAAAGTAGCTGTCTTGAAGACGCCAACCATATTCCCAGCCAGAACATTCTCGAAAATAATACTTGTCTTCAGGAGCTATCCTAGTTCTTTCTTTTAAGTAAACCTCTCGACCGAAATTCGGAAGACCTTTATAGATAAGCTTTTTGTGCTTCGGATTAATAGGCCGCATTACGGGATCTGGTTTGAGGTCAGTATCAGGTCGTTCTACGGTCGGATCTTTTTTAGGATCTGCAAGACCAACATCAACGATCGAATGCCCCTTTTTCATATCATTAATGCCTGGTATAAAGACAGCGTCTCGGATTGGTTTCTTTCTCTTGTTTCTCGCGCCAGATGTATTATCTCTTGTTATAGTTGGCAAACCCTCGGCCATAGTTTTTTTTAAAACATCCTCAATCCAATATCCTTTTTCTTCTCGGGTTAGAGTAGCAGCCTGGTTCAACTTGTCCCAATAAAGGTTATTCCATTTCATACGGAGACGGGCGGTCTTCTCATAATTTTCTATGAAGAATTTGATCGTGTCTGGATTAGTCATATCAATAGGAGGCATTTTGAGTGATTTGGAGATGAATAAGAATCACGAGAGTAAAGTAATAAAAGCTCGAAAGAAAATAATCGTATCGAAAGTGGTTTCAAAAGTTAGTCAATGTCAAAAACTAATGTGTGATCGAAGAGAACCAAAGAGTGTAATAAGTATAGAAGAATAGAGTATATTCGATAGTGACAGAAAAAAGTCCGTAGGTCTATTTCTGTTTTACCTTTTTACTTTTATTTAAGTACAAATGTTGTTTGTATGACATCTTTTTTGTGTGAGGGCAAAGTCAACAAATTACTTCTTCCGCCCAGGTTCGGGCGGAAGGGAATGTCAGACGCTTACTTACTAAAAACCCACCCGTTCCTTGTCCGGCCCTAGGCCAAGGCCGCGGTGCCTCATTGCGCCGCAACCCCTGGCTGAATCCTAAGAATATAATTCTAGCGTTAACAATTTAGTACTTAAATGACCTTCTCATATTTTAAAAATATGGCCACATACCAAGACAAGTATTAGGTTATGTCTAAGAACTTCTACTTACCAAGAAGATGTTATGGGTAGTTATTGTATGCCTCTTTTGGTAAAATTAACTAAAACCGAAACAACAACATTTGTTGTTTATATGTCCATTAGTCCTTAGGATATTAAAACAACTATAGTCTTAATTATTTTATACCATAGTTAAATTGCTCGGGTCGCATAGTGTGTGCACCACCTACACGGTCGTTTATGGGCTAAATAAAACTTAGAGCTCAGTAGGTGGCTGCTGGGTAGATGATAAAAGTTTCAGTCCCATTGTGGCCGTTATACAATGTTTTGTTGAAACACGGTGACTCAAGGGTTTCATACTGCTGTTACATTTTGTTCAAAATAAGTCTAAAGTAGTGATGTTGTACCTAACTATGTATGTCACAACGAATTCACAGCTAAAGAAAAAATTAACACACTTGCCAGGAACATTGGAAAATAGTACCCGGGCGAAGATGAGGTGGGCAGCTAGTAAGATATTATTTACAGCAACTTCTGTTAGTGTTTTATGAAAAGAAACAATTTTTGCCACGAGATCTTTATTGAAATAGAGAAAAAAAAAAACAATGACATCTATGATTTCTATTCTGTTGCCATAACGTTAGTTTTGAAGAGATTCCAACCAAAATACTATTATTTTCACAACGGGAGTTGGGGAGATATTGATGTTATTAAAATCCAAGACAACTACTATACTGGGCATCTGTTGGCTGTAAGGAATCTGGAGGATCTGGGTAAGCTCCTGAACGTCTGAAAAGATCATGCATAAATATGGAATAGCGATTATGCTTTCGCGGACTACTTTTTAATTCAGTTTCGTTAATTTTCCATCCATACATGTTGCTTGTTGTCACACAAGAGGTATACTTTTCCTCAGGTAGCTTGCGGTATCTTGTGTTAAGGTATGCGTTTCGTCCACCACCGGCTGATAGTTCCGTGTAAAGAATGCTTGACTCTTTTGGGTAAACTGGTTCCATAATTGGAGATTCTTCTCTTTTCTCAAAGAATTCGTTTACAGTAGTTGTATTGGCTTCATCCTTGAGCGTACTTTTTCTCCTAAAGCGTGCGCTAACTTTATTTTGTTCAGCAAACATTTTCAAACCGGCCTCTATTTGTGCCTGAGCTATTTGCTCAGTGGTATAATGCTTGCAATCCTCAACGTTTGGTGCATTCTTAATAATTTTGTCTTTATGTCTAAGGAACCACTTCATACATTTCATGTTCTCTTGATTGAGTCTTTCAATAAAAAAGTTTTGCAGTAATGGATTCGAGTATTCATCTCGTGGCATTTTATTATTAGGTTAAAAGGGTAAAGTCCATAAAATATATATAGATATATTGTAAAATGTGTACAGTATAAAATCAAAACATCATTTCGAATGTCATTGATGTTGTGACATAACTTGACATAAGTCATTGGTCATTATTTTTTGGTAATATGGAACAAAACAAGGATATCGTCTATGGCTTTACCCAGACAGAAAAATATACGACTCGTAGTCATACTTTTTAGGTACCTATTGAAATAAAAGTGAAGAACAAGGTCGAGAATTACATATTAAATGAATATTACATATTAAATGAATGATACCTATCCATAATTTTATGAACATGTGCTTTACAACTTAAAGCATTTGATCATTCTCCTATACGAACATTATAAAAATAACGACATACTGGTGCATGTTCTGTATACCTACCCACGTTTTTGAAATTTGTACAAACGTCTATCGTTGTCTATTTATTCTTTTAGCCATACTTACGTAGTTCATTTTGGCCTAAAAAAAGAATACCAAATAAACCATATAACATAGGTTTGTAATACTGTAGACAAATAAAAAAAAACGAGAAAAAAATACATAACAAGTAAATCATATACAAAAATAAAATAACTCAAAAATAAATGTCATGTGCATTTGCCGGCGTCTTTTCTCGGTATTTGGTAATGTATCGGATCCGGTGCAGGCCCTGAATGGCTTACTTCGCGAGCCAGACGCCACACACGTCCATGTTGCGGCCCTGTTGTTTTGAGGGAACTGTCTTTCAATCTCCAGCCGTACATCCAAGAACTGGTTTCAGCGAAGTAATATCTATCTTCAGGAAGCTGTGCTTTACATCTTTTATTCAAATATACTTCACGGCCGAAGTAAGGACGGCCCTTGTAAATTATTTTCCTTTGTTCTGGGTCAACAGGTCGCATTACCGGGTCGATTGATAGATCAGTGTCTGATCGTGCTAGTTTAGGGTCATCTTTAGGATTACCGAGTTCAACGTCAACAATAGAGTGTCCTTTTTTTAGACTGTCGATGCCAGGCACGTGTTTACAGTCTAATATGTGCTTTAGTCTTCGGTTCCTCGCATCGTTTATATTACCTCTTGTCACTTCAGGCATGCCTAGTTCCATGATAGCTTTGGTAACATCTATGTCTTGGTAACCCTTTTCCTCTCGTTGAAGAGTGGCAGCGAGATTCAACTTATCAGCATGAATGGTGTTCCATTTCATACGTAGTCGTGCAGTTTTTTCATAAGTTTCAACAAGAAACTTTATCGTTTCTGGATTATTTATGTCAATTAGAGGCATTGTGTAAATAAAATATATAAATATGTAAAAAAATACAAGATCACAGTAGCAAAATGTCTGATGTCAATAAAAACAGTCAACAGATTAAACGTTGATACTTCAAAATAGATGAAAAAGAACAATCGAAAAAGTTTTCATTGTCTACCTTCATACATAATCTACCATGATATGAGTAATATGGTGCTCCGGCCACATCACTTCTTATGCTCCACATGAGAAGTAGGTTATTGGTCAGTAGGAGTCTGACACTCCCTTCCTCCTTACCCTGGGCGAGAAAACTCATTTGATTGATTTTCCCTCCATAAAAATCCTAACCCTGAAGTAAAAACTCCAAAGAAAAAATCAGCAAACGATAAAGCCTCACGTATTTCAAAGCTTTGGAATCTCAGCCCCCCATCTTATTGCCAAGATTGTAAGGATATTGCTAATTTATGCACACAAATAAAAAATAGTGTACTTAATGTAATTATAATTTTATTTACTTTATACAGAGAGACAAAGATTGTCTTAATTATTTTTAATTTAGCAAAACACTTTAACATATTCATCGTATATTTCAGTTATAAACACATTTGTGATTTGCTTCGATTGTACGTTTATCATTTTAATACTCATTCGTTACTTAAATAGATGTTTGGTAATACTTTATCCACTTGATCGGTCTTCTTTTAATTTATCAGCCGGCAGTGGGAAATGAACTGGCGTGCCATCGCCTAATCTATTAGCCATAGAGTTAATAACTTCTGGGCTTGCTTCCCGCAAGTCGTACGCCCATCCTATTTTCTCGAAGAATCTTATGAAGGTAGTGGCAAAGTTGAGTACGTCGAAGTGTTCAGCTGCTTTGTAGTCAAAGGGGAAAGCGTGGTGGTAATTATGCCAGCCTTCACCAAGTGTACACGTTGCCACAAAGCGATTCTCGGCCGGAACTATGTTTCTGCGAAGAAGACGTAAATATTTGTATATACATGGGAACCTGGGTGGCAGACTGTGTTTCAAAATCAAGACGGGGCGATACTTCAATGATAGGGTGGCAGTTACTTAAGTAAGTATCTAACAAAAGCGTGGGAGATGGCAGATATTGGAAGTTTGTAATTTTAAAGGAAATTGAGTAATAATATTACGGTAAGAAATAGGCGGTGTTTACGAAGACAAGAGTTTAATTATACAGCAACAACGTTGTTAGGATGATAAACACCTTTATAATTATACTAGGACATTCGTGGAGGATTGACTTAGTGTCTAATGAAGTTGCATGTAATTAAAGTTATGTTTTTTTATTCAATCAAGATAGTCTTACTAACGTGTAGGTTCTGGTCGTAAGTAAATAGAAGTTAATGACATACTATTAGGGAAGTGCCTATGTTTGATGTTTTAGGGAACAGAGAGGGAAGTTTCTTTAGTTCGGAAAAGTAGGATACTCCGGCTAGGCGAGGTGAACATGCCTGGCGAGTACTACCCACCAGTTGTACTTCGGATTTTCTATCCGTGTGTTCTTACGTAATGTAGGAGCTGTTACGTAATCTGTCGTGTATTGTCGTCGATCTTCTATGTGCATCGCTTCAATGTCGTCTTAGGTTGGATATTGCAATTAAGGTTATTAGAGCGCGTTACTACCCGGTCTATATAGATGTGGCCTTTAAAAATATGTTAAACTAGCTACTCTCGCACGGTTTCACCCGCTGCTCCATTTGATTGTAGCGTGATGTTTTATAGCCTATAGCACTTAGGAACATTGTAGCTATCTATCAGTGAAATAATTTTGGCAATCCGACCAGTGGTTCCAAAGATTACCCCTTACATACAAACTTACAAACGTTCAAACATACAAACTTACAAATTTTACCTCTTTATAATATTAGTATAGATAAAAAGTAACTCACTTATTGTACGGCTTATATCCATAAGCGTGTGCAAGGCTGTTGACAGTGAGTTCACTGTGGAACATGCCTAGGAACCTGATGAAGCACTGCCAGGCCACAGCGCACTTCCAATCCTCATTCCAAAGCCACACGCCCAGCATTGTTGGTAAAATATAGCAGAAAACCAGTTTCAACATTGTGAAGTTTCTGAAAACAATTTAGCTATTTATTTGTATGTAAAAACTAGCTTTTACACGCGACTTCGCTCCCGTCATTTGACTACGTACACTTCCCTACCTTGTTACCTACCTACACTACCTAACGTATCCTACCTGCCCTATCTTCAGCCGGGGTTGCGGGATAAGTAGCCGGGGTTGCGGCATAAGCACAATGAGTTTTCGAGTTTTCTCTTTCGCAATATTTCACGCATAATATGGGCATTTTTTTAATACCCTGATCGTTTGAAATATATGCAGGACAACGTCTGTCGGTTCCGCTAGTATGTATATAGATTTTTCTACACTGGACTTTTCTTCTGTTTTAAGTACATACAGTACCTATGCTTCCTCGCTCAGCGTTATGCTGGAGGTCATAATTATCAGCATATTTTTACTGTTTGTTTTATAGGATTCGTATATTCTTCATTTCTTTTATTTTTCTTATTATTGTTTATTTTTTAACTTTTGTTTTTTTTACGCAAAGTTTTTTTTATCTGTACACATCGCATGCATTGTGATGTGGTTTAAAATTCTCCTCCTTCTGTCGAAAATAAATAAAAAAAATTGGAAAATCAAAGCTACAACGCGCTGTGAAGTTTTATTTTAATGTGTGAATCCATAATCGCTACAGATTTTTATCAAGTTTTGTCATACACTGTAACACATTTATTTAAGTGTCTGCACTTGATATTTGCCTGCTCAGAATGATATTTCAGATAATATTATATATTCTTCGCGTAGTGAAGATTCCGTCTTAAGAATAACGCTCATCTCCTTAACACGTATGAACTTGAAATTCTCGCGAAAGGTTACTAGGCTAACAAACATTCTGTTGTCATGTCTATAAAGACATTAAAATATTCACGATCCTGAATGTTTCAAAAGTGTAATTGTTCTAAGTTTCAAAAGAAAATGACCACAATTAAATAACTAACTCGATGCATTAGCTAATTAGTTGTATTATTTTAGTGTAATTTCTAACTCTTAATGAAATCCATGCTTGGTTATCGTCTTAATTATTTACTCAGGAATGAGTAGAAGTTTTGTAATCAGTTTGTTTTAATACTTTCCAATTAATACTTCGTAATTATGGACGCTTTAATTTTGAATGTGTTCTAAAATGTAACATCTGAGAATAATGGATTACTATTAATTACAAGTCTGGTTTGATTTTGTGGAAAGTAAGTAGGTAAATTATAAAAGTTTATTGACATCGTAATCCATAAGTATTTTATAGTGATAGTTGAGATTGGTCTCGATATTTTAAGTAAAAGAGTAATGGAACAGACTAAAGCTCTATATGTAATTGTATAGAAGTCCAAGAAGGATTCTTTCGCAGAGTTTTATAACTAGCTTGTTTCAAGTATTTTATTTCATTGATTGGTGTCCTGTGAACGAGAGAACTCTCTAGAAAGTTTTTACGACACCCGCTCGAGTAATACGTAAGGATTATGATTACATAATTAATACCAGCTTCAACGTGCGACTCCGAATGCGTGGTAGGTTGATAAAAAGCTGATAACATCCAGGATGATTCACCTACCCTCATTATGAAATTTAAAATCAGATCAGCCGTTTTTGGGTAAAAGTTTTTTTTACAACAACTTTGCCCTGCACTAGTGTCTTTTCCTTGTCGTATGTGCGTTCACAAACATACAATTTCACATACACAAACCATCCAGACCCAAAGCAACAAATTGTGGATCACTAAAAGTGTTGTTTTAAGAATAACAAACATACATCCGTCTATACATTTTCACAAACTTTATCATTTATTATTTAAACAGCAAATAGGATAGTAGGAGATAATTAGATGCAAGTATTAATTACCTTTCATAGAACTGTATTAAAGGATCATTTTCAATATCACTCATATCCATCTGTTTTCCACGAAGTATCACTTCGCTGTTCTTCTTCATCATCAGCCAGCCAATGTGTGAAAAGAAGAGACCTCGGTTCGCGTTATGGGGATCCGCATCTGTGTCACTGTATTTGTGGTGTACTCGGTGATCACGAACCCAGTGGAGGAGGGAGTTCTGTCCAGAAGATAAATATGATTCGTTATAGAAAAATACGATGGTTTCCTATTCCTACTAGTCAAATTCATTCTTAATGCCAAAGAGGGTACTTTTATATGACCCAAATTACAAAAAAGTATTTACTAATTTGTTAAAAAGAGTGAGAAAATTAAGCGTAAAGATAAAATATCAATGAAGGAAATTATTATTATTTTAATATTAATAAAATATTTGAATCGTCAAAATTATTTATTTTTAACTTGGGAAAATTGTACAGTAGAGCAGATTGTTTTTTTCTGTCTGTACCACACAAGATGGCTAACGAAAAATTTCTTGTTTTTCTTTAGTTATTTTCCTTAGATACCATGCCATCTTTCTATTTGCTACATATTTGTTTATATAGAGCTATATTATGAGACGTGATACTGACTTGAAAATATACCCATGTTCACAAACACAAACAAACGTAGCTTGCGTGCTAAGTTTAAAAAGTACCTCAACATCTTTCTACAATGTTTCACGCAACTTCTCAGAGCTCCATTTATCCAGATCCCAGGCAGCTATTAGCTTAATGTTGTATGTTTCTTTACATCTCGTAAAAAGGCAAAAATATAAAATGTTAAGAGACAAAGTAAATGTTTAATTAAGCTTCGTTTACCTGTCCCGCACTTGAGAAACATAAAAGAAGAAATAGTTTGAGAGGCAATGTTGCTTTGTAAGATTTGTGCGTCCACAGTCGGTGAGCGCCTCCAGTTATTCCGAATCCAGATGCCACGTACATAATCAACGCTGCAAACATAATTAGTTGTTTAATTAAATTGCCAAGACTTAATTGGAATGATATAAATGATAAGTTGTATAAACTTTGGTTTTGAGTACTGAAAAGTATATTATATATTCAGGTA